GAGTATTTTCTCCGTCACCATAGCGTCGATGCCGTCGTCGTCCATACGGGGGAAGGCCGACTTGGCCATCGCCAGGAGGCTCGTTCGATACGCCAGGGGCGACTCCTTCTCACCCCGCTTGCGGTCGTAGAATTGCTGTCTGCATTCAGCCGATGGTCCATAGACCCCTCCCAGCAGCTGCAGCGCCATCGGTAACGTCGACCGCCTCTCTCTTGGCGCCGATGTGAGGGCGGCGAGCGCGTCGCCGTCGAGGAGCGCCGGCAGCGCGCAGAGAGCCTCCTCATCGGACCACCTCGCCATCTCCTGATGGGCGAGGAAACGTCTGCGAAAACCGGCCCAGTCCCCCTCCGCGCCGACGAACTCCTTCAGCGGGGGCAGCCTCTGATGGAGCGCAGCGGTCGTTGTAGATTCCCGCGGGCAGATGTCACCCCCACTCGGCTGTGCGTCGGTGCGAGCGGCCGATGGGATCGCCTGTCGCGGTTGTGATGACGTCGCAACTTCAGCGACGGCGATGTCGGAGCGGATGTGTAGGATGGCCACGCCCCGAACAGCTGCAGCGTCGATGGCGGGAGTTTCAAACTCGGACTGCTCCGAAATGGCGGGAAGGCGCCCTGGCCGTTGGCCCGCCTCGCCCCGTGATGGATCACCGGCCCCCAACCGCGTGATGGTCTCCAGCGTGGCGGCAGCGGCATACAGCAGCTCCGCCAGCCTCCCGTGAGCCAGCCGCAACGCGTCTGGCTGTGGTCCTTCTTCACTCAGATGCCCCGGTAAGGAGGCATCAGGCCCCGGCTGCACCATGTCTTGTGTAGCCGTCTCGGGCTCGACGATCTCGGCAGTATCTTCCTCCTGCGGTACTTTGGCCCGCGCTGTCTTCCGCGTGTCCATGTTCGAATTACTTCTGACACCAGTTGAAGTACCGGTGAAGACACTTGACGCCGAGGTTGAGGCACACGTATATTTATTTAACACAACTCGTTCGTGGCATACAGCACTGGAGGGGGTATCGGCCCCCTCACCCGACTAGCTAAGGATACACTTCCTAGCTAATCCTAGCCTGCCTCTTAGTCCTCCACTAATGGGCTAGGGGAGGCTGTCTGGCCCGACACTGGTAAGTCGGGCCCGGTACCCGGAGTCCCAGACCAGCTCTTACAAGAGCACCGGCTCTGGCTCTCGGGACCACGCCGCTGGCTCAGTCCTGTTCGGCCCTGATAAGGACATCGAACGAGGGGAGTCCAGGGCTCTGTCTAAGACGTCTTCAGTCTTCTCTGGTTAGCTTTTAACATAACTGACTCGAGCCCTTATAACATCCCCTTTTATACCCAACCCCTCCTTGAGGGGTGGGGCCCCGGGGGATCATAACGCCGAACCAGCCCCCCCCAGGGTGTCTGGCTCGGACGTCGCAGAGGGCATCTCCCCGTGCACACACGTAGCCCCGCCCACTGTGTTTGTTTCCCATAGACTGCCATGCATAACGGGCCCTCTCTTTAACACCCCTACACACCCATCCATCAAATTCACCATGGAAGTGGAAAATGATGGCAAGCTACAATTCCTGGATGTTTTGATCGAGAAGAGGCCTAATGGCTCGTTGGGACATTCCGTCTACAGGAAAGCCACCCACATTCCTATCTAAAGCCTGACTCCCACCACCATCCGGCCCAGAAGAACTCCCTCATCAAAACACTACACCATAGGACCCGCTGCATCTCCGTCCAGCGCCAACTAGCCAGTGAACTGGAGCACGTACACCAAGCCCTCAAAATGAATGGATACTCAGACTGCACAATCCGCAAAGCTGTATCCCCAACCATGGGGATACAACCATCTGAGCACCCAATCAAAACCATCACCTTGCCATACATAGCAGGTGTTACCAAAAAGATTTCCAAAATCTTAAACAAACACAAGATCCAGGTCCGATTCAATACGGTACACAAAATCCATGATTTGATCCATCTGTGAAGGATGTCATTCCTGACATGCAATACCCTGGCATCTACAAACCAAGTTGTGTCTGCGGCAGCAGTTACATTGGGGAAACGAAACGACATGTCTCGGACCGTGTTTCGCAAACACAAGGCAGATTTGAAACACGGCTGTTATCTCCGACTGCATTGCCCTGTTAGGTGCCTCTGCATTAACGGGCTGTAGTCTCACTAACATGGCCACCTCTGCTCCCTTAGCCTTGATATATCGATGGTTCTAGCTGTGTGATGGGCTTTGTGCATCACTGGCGCGATCACCGTTGCGGTGGTTCTCTTGCGTGGACGCGCTTGCCTCACAGTGCAGTTGGCAGCGCCGGAGCTTGTGCTACACATAGACATGACATTAACTTGCTAATCCCCTAATCTCCCTGCTAATCTCCCATTAACACTGCTGTTGTGCGCATATGCGACAATACTCTTATGCAGCGACGGTAGCTCATTTCATGCAAATCTCTCTCCCTAATCTCTCTCTCCCTAATCTCCCCCATTAACACAACTGACGTACTTGCGTCCGGGGATGGAATTCCTTTCCAACTCATACCCCACTTGCTTGCCCATCGCCACGTAAATAACCATCTTGTAACAGCTCTCTCACTGGTTCAGCAGTTCCACTGCTGGATTATTTTTTTCGCCTGAGGATGACCGCTTTGTGTTGCGATCGAAACGTCGTGATATATTATTTGGTTTATTTTATTTTTCTACCTACGTGACTTTACCAAACGAACCAAAGAGTATGGATTCCTGCAGTCACGAAAGCTTAAAATCATTTGCTTTAATGAATACATTTTATATTAGTGTGTCTTCGCAATGTTACACAGTAAATATAATCTTCAAGGACAACTCTTACAGTCCCATTATTACCACCATCTTCATAATCACCATCATCACCAAATGTATCATCATTATCATCCTAACCATCTGTATAATCATTCACAATCTGTATCATCACCACCAAAGACAAAGACTCCCCATATAGACCTAATAGACTGTTGGAGCAAGTGCTGTTAGCGAGCACCTATGAAGGCCAGCATGGCACACGAGGGGTGGATGGTCAACACCACCCCCGGCAGCCTTTGTCTCCCCAGCAGTGTTTACACAACACCAGGTACTTATTTTGGGCTGAGTCGACCTAGGAGAGGCCCATGACCGTTTCAGATAATCGTTTCCTGCGTTTGGCATGAGCGAGAATTTAGATCGGGTCGCCGGGTTCGTAGCGCAGTGTGCTAAACGCTACGCTACCCCTACCCACCACCTGTATCACCATCATCTTCCAGAGTTATATATTTAATGTCAATAGCTGGAAATGCTTGTATTTGTAATTTTAAAAAAATCATAAGTATTTGTCACTCACACTCACCCACACTCAAACGCTCAGAAAGGATTGAAAGATGAAATATCTTCAGAACTCTACATCCTGAAACTAAACTAATTATATGTATTTTACCAGGTAAGGCCCACTGAGCTATATCGCACGCTCGGGAGTCCTGATTCCACTTCTGGGAGTGTCAATTACAACGCCATGGAATTGTATATGTTGACACATGTCTAAGCATACGTGTTTGTGTGCACGTATGTGTGTATGCATGCCTTCATATGTGCGTGCGTATGTATGCGCGTGTCTGCACGTGCATGTGTGGAAAATAACTTTAGCCATGACATTTGGGATCTATTAGGTTTAGGGTTAAGAACTCACCAGTGTGGAGCTCACCGGTGAGCTGGTGTGTACGCTGTCTAATCTGTAAGCTCACTACTGTGTGTGTGCGCCCACGAGTGTGTAAGCTCACTGATATGTAAACCTGCTGGTGTGTGCTCTTTGGTGTGTGGCCTCACTAATGTCCAGCACATTTTTGTGGAAGCTCACTAGTGTGCAAGCACACGAGTGTGCCGGTGAGTGTGTGTGAGTGCGGTGTGTGCGAGTGTGTGAGTGTGCAGTGAGTGCCAGTGTGTGAGTGTGTTGGCGAGTGTGTGGCTTGACGTGTCTCCGTATCAGTATTAATCAGCCACCCCCTTACTTGCCCACGCAAAGATCAGTCCTGCCCACCAGAGAGCTACATGCGATTCAAATGTCCACGTCCACATGACATCACATTGCGATGCGCATGTGTGACATACATGTCCCACGTGTTGCACACACTACGCACGTCACATGCACAAAGGGCATGCCTTACAAGTGATGAACACGCAATGCAGGTGCTTGCCTCGTATGTCACGTACACGTGACGCAACGTGGCCCGTGCGCGTAACATGTGCTCCGCGCTGCCGTACTTTGGCCAGAGCCGTCAATAACGTGGTGCGTGGGCCCCCCGATGCCTTCAAACTAAACTGGAAGCATTACATGTAACACTGATGTCTACACGCGGGGCCTCCCCCAAAGCGGTCGGCCGAATTTGCCGTATACTAGGGGACGGCTCTTTATTTGGCATACGCGACACGCACGTTGTGTGCGCTGTGCGTGGGGTGACTAGCCCGATGTGCGTGCCGGGCAGGGCAAGGGGGACTGCCATTGATTGTGTCGAGACCTTTTGCATGAGTGACGAGATGAACGCCCAAATTCAACGCAGGCCGCCACACAAGGGCTGCACATTTCAATGTTGAGCAGGTCCCTGTGTGTCCGTGCGTGCGGGTCCGTGCGTGTGTTTATTTCTGTGTGCGTTATGTGAGGGTAGCAGTGGCGCAGTGGATAGTAATCTACGCTCCGAACCCCGCAAACATCCGAGTTGGATTCCCGCTCATGGCCAACACCAGTGACGATTATTTATCTGAACCGGTACTGGGTCACCTCAACCTCAAATGAATACCTGGAGCGGTGTGTATACGTCACCACTTGGGAGACAAAGGCGGCCGGGTGTGGTGTTGGCCACCCACCCCCTGGTAGACCGTGCCGACCTTCATAGGTGCTTGTCAACAGCACTTGCCACAACAGTCTGTTAAGGCTATATGGGGGATCTTCATCTTTGTAGTGGGAAACCCGTAGGTGTGTGCATGTGTGGTGGGAAACCTGTACTGCTGTCGTACTTTGTGACCGGGCGAGGCCAATTTCGTCCTCATGGTAGACCAGGGCGTCCTGGTCTTCGTACTGCTGCTTGTCTTTGGCCGCAATGACACCCAACATGGACGACCCCATCACCTGCGTTCAAACAAGTGTTACACAGTACATACACACGCGCAATAAAGCAACCACAAAGCACATACACTATTAAATTTAATATAAAACCACTGTGGGCCTAGTACTGTAGTCACCAATCCGTGTGCATTATTTATTTGTTGGTCATTCCGATGGCAGTACAAACAGAAGCTGCATCCATAACTTCCCAATCCCCAGTCCCAGGCCAAGGTACATCCATGGAATTAATACAAATATATACTTATTAGAGGGTGTTTTTGTTTGTTTGGGTTAGATCGCGCAAATATTAGTAAGGTTTGTAACGTAACGTAAACAAAACATGCCAATTAGTTACTAGTTCAGCACATCGGTGTGTTGGAGAGTAAACCCACAACATTAACAATTCAAGTACCGTGACGTTTCGCCTGTAACTACAACAACAACCTGCCTCGTCAGGCGACAGACAGAGTTGTGGTGAAATCCTCCTCCTGTCTCGGTCTTAGATAGACGGGGGATCCTCCGCGCGGCCCTCACGGCCCATCCACCTCACCGCGTGCGACTCGCACACACACACAGGGTCTACTACTGGCCCGTACGTGTTTACAGCATGTTAAACACTTCTTTCACGCCGTACATAGTGGACACTGTGTGTGTGTGTGCTGCGAGCTGAGTGGTGGAGGTACCTGGCAACAGTTGAACCGAGCCCACTCGGCCTCTTCACCCGTGGCGACCAGAGTACAGTCGTAACTATATTCTTGGTTCTTTCAGGTAAAGTCACGTAGATAGAAAATAACAATGAAATAAAAATAAATTAAAATAAAAGCAAAAAACCCGCGACGTTTCGATCGCAACACGTGATGAAGACCGCTTGTGTTGCGATCGAAACGTCGTGGGGTTTTTGCTTTAATTTAAAATGTTATTTTCTATCTACGTGACTTTACCGAAAGAACAAAAGATATGAATTCCTGCAAGTCACGAAAGTTTAAAGTCAAAATTGACAGTCGCAACGACTCAGGCCTGGAGGATGCAGTGGACCACGTGGGCTTCAGGTTTGTCACCTTAGCAACCAGTGACGTCACTTCCCTAGCAACGGTCGACCGTTACGGACTGTTCTTCGTGGGAGGTGCACGCGCTCTCCGTGTGCTTGAAGATCGCATTCGGGAGCACTCTTCGCCCACGTCGTCAATAAACATCGTTAACGCGGTTAATTTACTTGGTAAACCTGACAAACATCAGTGAGGTTGAACGCTTCATTAACATAGTTGACCAAATCTATTGACAAACGTGACCATCCGTGACTTGTCTTTCGGCCTTCAAGGCGACATCTTCCGTGAGTACATCCACACGCGGCGCTGTATTCTTGACTGTATACAATGCAAAAAGTATAAAAATAAACGTTTGTATTTGGGGGGGAGGGGGCACAATAATGGATATAATATATTTCACGCAAGTGAGCTGTGACGTCACATCTGTGACGTCACAGCTCACTTGCGTGAAATATATCAAGTCTGTGACGTCACCTCTGTGACGTCACCACTCACTTGCCGTGCAATATTTCACATCTATGACGTCACAGATGTGACGTCAAAGACATCACATCTGTGACGTCACCCGCATCCAGCAGCGTTACGCAGTGTGCCTGCTGACGTCACGCATCCCCCACCAACCCTCCGCGTAGGCCGGGTATCCCGCACAAAAGCGCGGCTGGGGTGGCGGGAAATAATGTATATATACTAGACTACAAACTTTAAATTTGGCATGTGGCTAGCTTCCATACTGTACACAATGTAAAAAGTATAAAAATATACTTTTTTATTTGTGGGGGGGAGGGGGAAACAATGGATCTGACATTGCACAAGTGAGCGGTGACGTCACATCTGAGCGATGCCGGGTAGTAAAGCTAGTTTCTGATAAATTATGTTAATCCTCAGGGAAGCCAATCAGCATCAATGGGAGGGCTAGCATCCAAAGAATTTCACCAGTGTGCTTTTTTGATTCACAAATTGTCTTTTTTGATCTACAAATCGTGACAGGAATCACTGCTGATTTAAAAAAATGCCTCTGCTTGATCACTGCTTGGTCACGTAAACACAAGTATTAAGAATCATAGTTCGATCACTGCTCGATCAATGCTCGATCACATAGACACATGTAATGTGGTGCCATGGTGGCGAGATGTTAACTACCTCGCCTGGTGTACAGGAGGTTGTGGCTTCGACCCCGACCCTGACGCCTGGCTGAGATCAATTTCCACGTGATAAGCCACTTTAATGAGCTATCATTTGTGGCCAGCACATGTCTGATAAAGAGCTATGTCGTTCAGTGGGACTTACCTGGTAAAATAAGAACAATTCAACTTGTTTTTATTTATTGATTATCTAATTTGTCAACGCTGGAACAATGCTCGATCACATAGACGCATGTATTCAAAATGTCACACCGTGATCACTGCTCAATGCTCGATCACATAGACACGTATTCAAAATGTCATAGGTCGATCACTGCTCGATGACATAGAAATGTGTTCAGAATGTCATAGCTTGATCACTGCTCGAACAAATAGACACATGCTCGATCACTGCTCAATCAATGCTCAATCATATAGACACTTGTATTTGAAATGTCATAGCTCGATCACATAGACGCCTGTATTAAAAATGTCATATCTGGATCACTGCTGAATCAATGATCAATCATTTCGACATACATATTAAAATGTCATAGCTCGATCACTGCTCGATCAAATATACACATACTCAATCGCTGCTTAATGCACGATCTAATAGACAGATGTATTCAAAATGGCCTAGGTAAATCACTACTTGAACACATAGACAGATGTAATCAAAAATGGCATAGCTCGTTCACGACTGACCCATACATGGTGGACACTAAGTATACGGTAGGTGCCACAAGTTGTGAGTCATGGAGTTAGTTGGCAACATTTGACCCGAGATCACTCGGCTCCATCATCTGTGACATCTAGGTGCTGTGGGTACGCGGTCTCCCCAGTGGCTCCAACAAGTGGTGACTTCGGTTCTCCGTGGGGTTCGGGAGTTCTTGCCGTGCGGTTGAGCATCACATCCGGGACAACACTTCATCAACATCGCCGCTTCATCAACATCGCCAAGAACTTTCGTTAACACAGTTAACTGACTTAGTAAACTTCGTTGACTAACATCAACGAGGTTGAACACGTCAGTAACATAGTTAACAAAGTTGTTGACAAACGCGAACATCCACGACATCTCTTGTACCGTCAAGGCGATATCTTCCGTGAGTACATTCGCCCCTCGCATTCGTCCAGATGCGTGCTATAACAGGATGAAATTTACCTGCGACAAAATAATGATACATTATGTTCATGCTTAGGGAAGCCAATCAGGTACAATGGGAGGGCTGACAGCCAAAAAAATCCACCATTGGACTTTTTTGTTCCACAAATCATCTTTTTTACGATACGTAAATTGTCTTACAGGTGTCACTTTACCGATCAAAAAAATCACCTTTGCTTAATCACTGATTGATCACGTACACACATTTATTCAAAATGTCACGTAGCTCTCCGAGTCCTCAAACAATTAGATAATATGTATTAAAAATGTCATAGCTCGACACAACTGATTCGTACATGGTGGACATCATGTGTATGTGCCACAAATTGTGAGTTGTGGAGTCAGTTAGCAACATTTGACCCGAGCTCACTCGGCTTCATCATCTGTGGCGTCTAGGTGCTGTGGGTGCGCGGTCTCCCAAGCGGCTCCAACAAGTGGGGACTTCGGTTCTCCGTGGGGTTCGGGAGTTCTTGCCGTGCGGTTGAGCATCGCATCCGAGACAACACTTCATCAACATCGCCGCTTCATCAACATCGCCAAGAACTATTGTTAACACAGTTAACTGACTTCGTAAACTTCATTGACTAACATCAACAAGGTCGAACACATCAGTAACATAGTTAACAAAGTTGTTGACAAACGCGAACATCCACGACATCTCTTTGTACCGTCAAGACTATGTCTTCCGTGAGTACATTTATCCTTTTTGCATTCGTCGACACACATGCACATATGTTACACACACCCCCGTGTCGCCTTCACACAGACAAACAGACAGACGAATGTCACCCTAGATTCGTATGGGCGGCTGGGGAAAGCGTTTTCTATTAAGACTAAGGCAGCAAACAAGTGATCCTTTTGGTCCGCACCATGCTGCCTTTCCCTCCCCAGTGTTGATGTTTATACACTGCACTGGGTCATCAGTGAAAGCTTAGTCGACCTTTCCCTATTTCCTCACCCCCGCGTGGCCCCCTACAGAACCCCCCCCTGCCTGAGCGGGATAGGGGTTGGGGCACGGGAGGGGATGTGGGATCCACGTGGGGGGGCAAAGGGCAAGTGGGGGGCGTCCCGTTGTGCTATTTTTCCGTAGACTTGCAATACTTTGCCGTAATTGGTCGAAGCGGTATCCACACGCGTGAAGTTAGATTTGGGGAGTGACACACGTGGGGAGGGACCCTGGGAGTGAGAAATAAAATTATGGTTACCATGGTGATCGTTATGGTGGTGATGATGAAGACGGTAATGATGGTGGTGGTGGTTATAAGCTGTGATGTGATTAGAGTCTCACGTGCGCTGCTGTGATTTTGTTGCAGGGTGGAGAGAAGAGCAAGCCGAGGGGAAGTAAGTACTGAAATTCCACACACAGACATACACACAGACACATGCACCTGTATACAAATACAGATCCCCGTATAGCCTTAACAGACTATTGAGGCAAGTGCTGTTAGCGAGTTAGCACCTATGATGGGGTGGGTGGTCAGCACTGCACCCGGATGCCTTTGATGTTTATACGTTGCACAAGATACTATTTTAAGTCTGAGGAGATGTAGGGGAGGCACACGACTGGTTTGATTTATTAGTCACTGATGGTTGTGAATGGGAATCGAACTCAGGTCGATCCCCACAGACACTACTGCTCCCAACCACTCATACAGACACTGCACATAGACACAAACAAAGACAGAAATCTTGTGTATAGCCTTGAAACACTGTAGGAGCAAGTGTTGTTAGTGAGCACCTATGACGGCCGGCACCGCACACGAGGGGTGGGTTGCCAGCACCACACTTGGCCGTCTTTGTCTCCCAAGTGGCGATGTTTACACACCGCATCAGATACCTATTTGAGGCTGAGTGGACCTAGGGGAGGCCCCTAACCGGCTCAGATAACAACAACAGCCCTCATTCGCCACTAAGTGACGGAGACGTCACCATGGCGCTTGTGCCAGGCCTGGTGCACTCCGAGGCCACTTGAAGTGTCGAAGGCTTGCCGACAGGAGATCAGGGGACAGACCCCAGTGCGATGGGTTGACTGACTGAGATGACTGGCAGACGCACCATCATTGCATCCTATTGTGCCAACTTGCTGCGTTTTAGTCATCCATGTTGTGAGCGTCGCTCTTCTGCCCTCCTTATTTGCTGGAGGGAAATTTTCACCAACTGCCCATGAGCATCCTTCACGAGCTTCCTCCATAGAGGCCGATCTTGACACCAGTGGTACCATAATTGACACCAGTGGTACCAGTCTTTGGCAAGTCCACTCAGCTCCGTATCCTCCTGTACTGCATCAGTCCATCTCTTCTCCAGGCCGTGCCACGCCCATTTAGCCCCCTCTATCTGGAAAAACAGCAGCTGCTTGGGCATGTGGTGGCTGAGCATGCGGGCTACATGACCCAGGCAATGCAGCCCTACCCACCAGTGGAGCTCACTGATGGGAATGTGTCCATATCTTTCAAGGATTTGTGAGCTCTTCACACATTCCAGCCTAGTTAAACCCAGGGTGGATCGTAGGCAGGCCAGTCTGAAAGTTTAAAGCTGGTTCAGAGTTTTCATTTATTTGATCATTGGCCAAGAAGACCCAGTGCTTGTGTCGAGTGACAGGCCAGGTAGATACCCTACAGTGTTACGAAGCTGATGAAAATATGCCACTTGACCGATTTGGAGTGAGACCTCTGCTTCCAAAGCGGAATTTTCGCATAAGCACACTACCCAGGTACGTAAACTTCTCCTGTCTCTCTACAACTACCCCATCACTCATGAGTAGTTGAAGGGCGGAGTATTAAATTATACAAAATACTCATGGGGGTGCTTAGTTTTGGTAGGGCTGATGGTAAGGCCCCACCTCTTTGTCGCACGCTCCAGGCTTAGCAGCAGAACTACCAAATTATCAGTGTACATAACATGGTTGACCAGGAGGGAGCCATCCCTTGACCTCACCCAGGCATCAATCAGCCTCCCATTGTATCTGTACCAAATATAAAAAAATCCACCGGTACAGCCATAAAAAGCTAGAACTATGTGGTCGAAGATGATGCTAAATAATGTGTCAGCCAGAGTAGATCCCTGTCGCACCCCACTGTAAACAGGGAATTGCTCTGACTCCCGGGCAAACAACTTTATCCGGGCCTGCCCACTATCATGAAGGTCCTTAATGATTGGGAGCAGAGGGTTTGGGACTCCGAAAGCACGAATAACAATAAAGAGCCCTGGCCTACTGATTGTATCATAGGCCTTGACCAGGTCAATAAAGCAGAGATGTAGGTCTCTTTGAAATTCATTACACCTCTGCTGTAGCACACGGAGAGAGAATATGGCATCCGTGCAGGATGCCCTCGGCCTGAAACCACATTAGGGGTCCGCAAGCCTCTCCTCAGTGTGCCTGGCAAGGGAATGTTGAATAATCCTTGCCAGGACCTTCCTAAATACACCGGGGTGGGAGATGCCTGATACTTGTTGCAATGTGTGCGGTCCTCGTTCTTAAAGAGTGGGACCATCAGGGAATCCTTCCAATCCTGTGGAACCCATCTTGTGGTCCAGACAGTTGTGATGAAGACATGTAGGGCATTCTGCACACAGGCGCCACCCTCCCGCAGCAGTTTGATTAGGAAATTACCTTTTCCCGGCGCTTTTCCTGGTCTCGGACAGATGGCACCTCAGCCAGCCACTCACGAAGGGAGGCTACTTATACCAATATTTGAGGCAACGCAGCCCCAGCAGGGTCGTCCCCACCTTGCCCCATAATGTTTTTCTCGTCTGCAGGTTTGCAAAGCAATTCTATAAGGTCTTGGGGTTCAGATAACACACACAAACACACTGATACTGATATATAGGTATGCTAATGCCTCGACATTCACGAGGGTTAGATTCTTGAAAATTTGCGTGAAAGTAGATTTCGTGAATGCAGATACTATGTTTATATGGGGGAAAAAGGAGGTTTCGGGTCCCGTGTCCGAATGAACATATTGGAGAGTCAAAAATATTCAAAACATTAATTCTGTATTGTGCACTTAAATAACAACTAAATTGTAATTAAATTGTATAATAATACATGTAGATAACTAAAATGAAACAAGAAGAGAAAGTCAAAGTGTCCTCTCGGGGGTCGTCCACATTGGTGGAAGTGCTGCCACACTTTCCCTAATTGCCTTCGAATTTTGTCTTCATAAATCTGACTGTTGACTCGTTTACCATGTAATGGCGGCCAACAGCAGATGCACAGTAACCACGAGCAAGTCTATAAAATAACTCATTTCTTTTTTCCACCTTTTCCTCTTGCCATCACTTCCTTACCCACTTGAGGCTGACTCCATTATCTAAATAAATAAAAAACACCACCATGAGACAAAAACAGGGGAGAGGCATGGGGAAACAAAGACGGGGAGTCAGACAAATATATATGGAGATGTAGTTCTGGCAGGTATTTATAATTGATTGAAATATTGTATTTGTTTTGGTATGATTGCTTTGTTAACTACAATCACAGAAGCCAAGGTTATTGTCCACATTCTTAGATATATAACATGTGTAATGTAGGATTCTGGAGACAGTAACTGTAGAGGCACCTTTATTTATATTACTCGTACTCACTAGACGACTCACTAAGCATATAATGTAACGCTGACCGTCAAGCTCGACGGCGCTAACTGACTGGATAGCTGGCTGACTATTCAGCAGTGGTGACATCGGGCAAGGACGGCAGCGATGACGGCGGCGGCGAGGACGACTTCCACAGCGAGACGACCCTGATTCCCACGAACATCCCCGAGCTCCCTCTCTCGCCCCCTTTTATGCTTCCAGCGGGGCCTGGCCCTGCCTTGGCCACGGCCCCTTTCTCGACCCTTCTAGCAGGTTCTGGGAGCTCACAGATGGATCCCTTCCATGACCCTTAGCCCAGTTCTTATCCCTTCCATGACCCTTGCCCCAGTTCTTCCCCTTGGGTGAGAACACCCGCAATTGCTACTTCTGGCAGCCAGTCGGTACTGCAACACTACACATGTAACGCATGGATTTGTTACACTGTTCAACCACACACACAGACACATTTTAATCAAAACAAGTCCCTTATTTGTCAAAAAAAATCAGAGTACCAGTCATCAAATATGCAACTGACACTTGGTCCAAAGAATACGTGATACTGTAATAGAAATACATGAATGGCTAAATTCAGAATTTAGGTTAATAAGGCATAACCCAGTGCATAATGACATAAAATACAAATAGTGCAACAAAGGAAATCAGTTTTCAGTCTGTATCAGACGGTCTCTGACGCTAGTGTTGAGAAGGTGACATGGCAGGCGTTTAGAAACCTGCTGTGCCGGTGAATGTAAAGTCGTCACACAGTGTCTTTCGAACAACACAACAGCCAGGTGCTTGGTGCAGCTGGTGACTTGCCAGGTGTGGTGGGGTATTGACGATGCGTAGAACGATGAAATTGTACTTCTTTCTCGAATGTCAGGTGTTGTCGGGCTTTGACGATGGGTAGCACGATTGTTTTCCTTCAGTATCCAACGTATAGAGAAGTCTTCACCATGATAATTATTAACAGGCTTGTTGGTTTACAGTAACTTTTTTAAGCTCATGTGATTCATGGCACGTGACCTTGCAGCTCAGTTTTGAGCAATGCCTTTCCTTCTCCAAGATTTCTTCTGCAACACTCACTTTAAGTCTTCTTAATTTCACTTGCCATATGTATGGGCTCAATATAAATTGACAATTGCAAATGTTAAACTTTGCTTTAAAAATCTCCACTGTTTTACCACTATACCTCTGAGTGGTTACTCAGCATTTCAGCCATTCTCGTGCATGGAATGACTTCTGTTGAGAGCAACCTCACATGCACGGGAGCACATGCTATCCAGCTAACATAAACATCGGGTTGCCCCTGGCTCTCTGGCCCCTCTGGGCACTCTCTGGGCTCCGGGCACCCCGGCCCTCCTCTTCTCCTCTCCTCCCTTTATCTTCTCCTTCTCTAACGTAGCCCACTAATATACTAATTGTATGAATGGACCAGTGTATAAGAATTAATAGTGTATTTATTATCCGATTCATGCTCTCTCTTGTGAAACAATGGACATCTTATAAATTTAGCCAGACTTCCACAGCTTGGTCATCAATCCATCTTACTTTTTCGGAGATAAGGGAAGTTTATTTATGTTTGGCCTGGAGTTTCAGACCTCGCAAACTTAATAGGGCCTCCCCAGCCAGCCCATAAATCTAATGAAGTACTTTGGAGGAGGAGGTGTCTCCGGCACATGAGTCAACCTCCAGACCTCCCTACAGTGGTATCATTGTTACATCGGTCTCAAGTAAAGTTAGATTCCTGTCAATGGTACCAAGTTTCTTTACCAAAATAACATACAGGAAATGCGCATGTTTGTGTCCTCTGGTCTAACACCATTTGAGACGAGGCTCAAAATAAAGCTGTCTCTGGTGTGGACCAATCAGTTTCAAGGACAATGCATATATTAGAGTATTTTTTTGTTTGCATTCTGACCACAAGCATTGTGGTTAATGCAGACATGATTCCTTGTAAAAGGTATCAGTTTGGTGTTTTAATATCTTAACACCTGTTTTGTTTCCAGAAAAAAGGGCAAAAACCTATTATAATACAGGAAATACTCAAACACCCATTAATTAATCATTTGTGGTGCTGCTCTCTTCTCCCCATGTGACTCCCCAGACCCTGGCTCGAAGAGGCAGCGCAAGAGGATGCACTGTGCCATAAGACTAGAAGCTGAGCGCCAGATACGGGAGCTTGAGATGATCCTGCTGGATCGTTGTGCACAGCAGCAGGCCAAGTATCAGCAGGAGCTGCTGGAATTCCAGAACAGCACCGAGCTGAAGAGCTTCATCATCCACCACCAGCAGCAAAAGGCAGAAGAGCAGCAGCAGGCAGAAGTCAACGCTAGTAATGAGGATGTGCAGCAGACATGTCAAAATAGCAAGAAGGTTGAGAACGAGATGGAGGAGATGGAGAAAGTGGGGGAGAGAAATTGTATGAAGAGAAAACGTGGGAGTAGGAAGAAACATAAGAACAAGAAGAAAGTTCTGGAGGAGACGGTGAAAGAAGAGGTGGCTGAGAGAGAGGGGAGTGAGGGAAAGCCCATGCAGGAAATGGTGGAGGTTGGGATGATTGAGGTAGAGATGATTGAGACAGTGGCTTTGGAGGATGTGATGAAGGAGGTAGAGTTGAATAAGGTAGAGGTGTTAGAAGGAGATGGCAAGCGGGAATTAGCGAATGAGGCAGAGGTAGTGGTGATTGAGGTAGAAGCAATGGCAAAGCAGGAAGTGGTGGAAGAGATAGCGGCCAATGTCATAGATGGGATTGAGAGAGATGCAAAACAGGTATTAGCAGAAGAGATAGAGCCAAATGAGGTAGATGGGAATGAGGGAATAGCCAATCAGGAAGTGGCAAAGAAAGTTGCGAATGTTGTGGAGACAAAGAAAGAGGGAGAGGATTGTGTTCAGAGGAAACGTAGGAATAGGAAGCTACGAAGGACTAAGATTAACGTTCTGGAAGTAGAAGAGATGAAGGAAAACGAGATTGAGAGAGAAGGGAATGATGGAGAGCCCAAAAAGGAAGTGGCGAGTGAGGTAGCGGTGATAGATGCAGTGGCCACGCAGAAATTTGTGAAAGAGGTAGTGGTCAATGTCCTAGAAGGGATTGAGAGAGATGCCAAGGAGGACTTAGGGAAAGAAGTAGAGGCAAGTGAGGTAGATGGGAATGAGGGAATAGCCAAACAGGAAGTGGCTAAGAAAGTTGACAATGTTGTGGAGACAAAGAAAGAGGGAGAGGATTGTGTTCAGAGGAAACGTAGGAATAGGAAGCTACGAAGGACTGAGATGGAAGTTCGCGAAGTAGAAGAGATGAAGGAAAACGAGATTGAGGGTGAGGGGAATGATGGAGAGGCCAGGAAGGAAGTGGTGAAAGAGGTAGTGGCCAATGTCGTAGAAGGGATTGGGAGAGATACAAAGCAGGAATTGGTGAAACAGGTAGAGGCAATTCAGGTCGACACGATTGAAGAAAAGGCCTTGCAGGTCTTGATCAATGAGGTAGATACGAATGAGGTAAAGGCCAAACAGGAAATGTCAAAAAAAGTTGAGAACGTGGTGGAGGAGATAAAACAGGAAATTGAGGGAGAGTCCAAGCAGGAGGTGGTTACAGAGGTGGAGCCGAATGAGGTAGAGGTGATTGATGTAGAAGTGGAGGTAGCAGTGATTGAGCTCAAGGCGAATGAAGTAGAGGCAGTCGAGGTAGATGCCAACCAGGAAGTGGCAAAAGAGGTAGAGGAGATTGAGGGAGAGTCCAAGCAGGAGGTGGTTACGGAGGTGGAGCCGAATGAGTTAGAGGCGAATGAGGTAGAAGTGACTGAGGTAGAAGTGGAGGTAGGGGCTATTGAGGTGGAGGAGAGTGAGGCGATTTTGGTAGAGGCGAATGGTGTAGAGGCAATAGAGCTAGAGGCAAAAGAAGTAGGAGCTATTGAGTCAGAGGCAAATGAGGTAGAGCTGAAGGAGGTCGACATGATTGAAGACGATACAAAGCAAGTGGTGAATGAGGAAGGGGGATGCGAGCAACTTTGGAGGGCAGACATTGTTCAGGAAGAGAAGAAAGAGATTAAGCACATCCCATCTTCTAAGGGAGAGAGAAAGAACAGTTTCTGGCGTTGGGCAATTTGGAGCTTCCTGGGCTGCACACGGCAGCTGGAGAACGATGAGGAAGAGGAGAATGAACGAGGAGACAGAGGGAAGGAGCGCCAAGACCAGGAGCTGGGAAACAAGAAGAAAGAAAAATGGTGGAGACTCCGCGGAGGGAGAAACTAGCGTGTTCTCCCAGACATAGACATTGAGACGTGGTTGGATGGACATGTATATCTATATATGTATATATATTTTAAGTTGTAATAAAAACGTACTTATGTTTCTTGAACTTGACTTCTGATACAAAAGATGTATTACCGAAGCGATCAACAGAAGGTGTCTACAGGATTAACTGCACTTGTGGCAAATAATGTTGGGCAAACAGGACGAACGATCAGCACGAGACTAATAGAACATCAGAGAAATATTAAATACACGCGTGCCAACAAGAACACTCAATTGATTTTGATAATGTTGAAGTTCTGTGCAAAACTAGCTACTACTGGCCAATACTAATTAGAGAATCTATCGAAATTGAAAGAAATAAAAATCATTTTAACTGTTTGGATAGCTACCGACTTAGTGCTGCGTGGAAGCAAATCGTCAAATAATACATTATTTAAATGCATGCCTATACAGGGTACCATACTTCAATAGAGATTTCTGTTGGTACTGCTATTTTAATACAATGGACAGGAAGGATAAGATCAAAGGGCTCGCATAATGTGCATGCATAATGTACGTTGGTTCATTAATCCCTCACCCCCCCCCCCCCCCACTTTGCACAAGAGCGCAGAAGTGTGGTCACCACATCTATACCTCTTTGTAAGGAACGAAACACGTGGACTTCTACACAAATCTGGCTATCACCTGATGAAGCTAGTTGTAATTACTGGTGAAACGTCGTACTCAGATTGTAAATGATGTGGTTTGGCTCTTCAACACACCAGTGTGCTATACTAGTGACGAATTGGCATGTTCTGTTTACGTGACAACCCTTACTAGTTGGCTGTGTCAAGTGGTGCCGGGTTTTAACGACATGTATATATTTACGCGATCTAACCCAAAAAAGACCCTCTTATGGAGCTATTCAGTAATCAATGTATTGATGATGACAATGCACCATGGTCCCCAGTCTCATATTGAACCCGAAACTCACGCAGTCTGTGCACTCCCAGCAGATAGTGACAGCGCAAAAGGGAGCGCGTCACCAGCATTCAGTAACTCACTGGTTCGTTCATTTCGTCTTTCATCTGTTCATCAATTTATAGGTTAATTAAATAAATTATTTGTCAATTAATTCATTAATTAGCCACTTAATCCATTTACTCATATATTCATTAATTCAGAAAATAATGTATCGCTTCCCTCAGTCTCCTTCCATGCATCAAGTCGTATGTGAAGTCACAGCTCAGTTCTCATTCGTGTTCAGCTATGCAGGTGACGTCACGGCAGCTCTACACACAAAACGATGTCGTCCACGGTGGTGGAACGTTGATTTGGTGCACTGTACTATAAACCAGTCAGCCATCCATAGGGAGTGTGGGGCCTGGGGCAAATCTCACCGTGTGGGCTTCCTGAAGCCTTCAAACTAAACCGGGAATCACGTAGATAGGTTCATACATAGCAGGGGTCATCAAAAAGATTTCCAAAATCATGATCAAACGCAAGATCCAGGTCGATTGAACACAGTACGTAAAATTCGTGATCTGATCAAATCTGTGAAGGATGTGATCCCTGATATGCAATACCCCGGGGCCTACAAACTAATCTGTGTCTGTGGCAGTAGTTACATTGGGGAAACTAAGCGACATGTCTTGAACCGTTTTTGTGAACATGAGGCAGATCTGAAACACGGAAGGAACAATACCTTGGTCATGGCTGATCATTCCTTTAATGCGGTGGGCTCACGAAATGAGTATTTGCAAAACTACTGGCTATCAACAAAGATTTGTTCATGAAGCCATCCATATATACAGACGGACACAATTTCAACTGAGAAGATGGGTACACACTTAGCAATCATTGGAAGGACGTTATCAACCAGCTTAAGTCATAACTGGCTGTGATGCTTCCTGCCACCTTTCGATGTAAATTTTATTTTTTCCTGTGGCTTCGGCTCTCCGATTTCACATTAACAGGTTAAATTTCTCGCACCAACGTGGCCAACTACGAATGCCGACTTATACGTTGTGGTGGCTCTGCGATCTTACATTAACATGCTAATCTCACATTAACATAGCCACCCGCGCACTCGTCGCGGAGGCCGCTCTCCGATCTTACATTAACATGCTAATTTCTCACATTAACATCCCCAGCCCCGCCCCCTTCGTTTATGACCCTAGGACGACACCCTATGAAACAGTCTGCATTCAGCAGCTTTCCTCTTTCCTCCTGATAACGATCGCTTGTGTTGTGATAGAAACGTCGTAGTTTTTTATTTTCTTTGAACCTATCAACGTGACTTTACCGAATGACCCAAATAATATGAATTCTTGCAGTTACAAAAGCTTTAAGTCAAGATTTAAACCAGAAGTATTACATCTGACACCGCAACGTCAAAGCACAGGGTCCACCCACAGCCTGAGGCCCGGGGAAGTTGTCCCGATTCGCCATTACCAGGGATGGCTGTTCCAAGCTATGGCTAACATCAGTGGCGAGTGATATCGTGTCCTCCCTTCCCTCCACTAACCTGCACTGAGCAGCGTCGTGATACATGGTTATAAAACACCTACGGACGACATGATGTGGAAAGGCCTTCGTCCAGCTGTGGATTAAAAATTGCTCAAATATGCTTTTTATAACATTTTTATGCATTTGGGGAGTAAGAGACGTGCTTGGTGACACACGAGTACACACATTTTTTTCTCTCGAATGTAAAAAAAGTGTACTTGACTAAACAGACACTTTAAACACCATTTGGAAGTGCACGGTAAAGTGCACTATTTGCAAAACATAAACCAGGATCAATCCACTGCTGGATGAAGCCCTCTCCTCCATGCAGCAATTCCTCGCGTCCCTGTGATGTGGCAATCCATTCAGCTCCTGTAAGCGAACTATTTTTATTTTACCAGGTAAGACCAACTGAGCCATATAGCTCTTTTCTAGAAGCAGCCTGGCCACATACGATTGCTCAACGAGGTAGCTCATGTAAAAATGTATAGCAGTCATTATCTCAATGCATGTTTTTAAATGTGGAGAAAAAAACCGGAGGACATGGAGAAAAGGATACGTGACCATGGGGAGAACATTGAATATCGCGAGTTCATAGTTCGTGGTTTAGACCTATCGCCGGCAAGCTCTATGTATATCAATTTACCTATGGGGATTAGTTTTGGCCTTGAGCAGGTATACTGTACAAGGAAGTACTGTATCATTGTGTGATATCGTGGTGGGGAGCGGGCGAGGGATGCGAGACAGTCGCACCTCAACCTTTTCTAAGGCAAGAATCTCGCGGATAAAGACCTCCCGTATAGCCTATCAACAGACTTTTGGGGGAACTGCTATTTGCGAGCACCTATGAATGCCGGCACGGCACGAGTGGGTGGCCAGCACCACGCCCGGGTGCCTTTATCTCCCGAGTGGCGATGTCTACACATTGCATCAGGTACTCATTTTAGGCTGAATCGACATAGGGAAGGCCCATGACCAGTTTGGATAATCGTCACTTGTGTAGGCCGTGAGCGGGAATTGAACTCGGTTCGCCGGGTTCGTAGCACACCGCGCTAACCTGCGTACAAAACACACCCGCTTTTGATGAATATTTGTTTACTAGCCTTTTGCCCATCCAAGGACAGGTGTATTGCAGTAAATCTGAAACTTGCAAGCGAAAAGCAGACCACGAAGTGATATTCATTGCATCCATTCTTGTGAAATTTGTAAGGCCGCGGTGACACAGACTTATTTAATTTAAGATGGATTCTGGCTTAGCAATCATTGGAAAGACGTAATAAACCATTTCGGATCTTAACTGATTGGGTTCACGTTTACGGTGACTTTCAGACCGCGTTCCACTCACTGGCATGGTGCAGTGTGCAGAGTAATGTATGGTGTCGTAATTATATAGTAAATATATAGCAGTGTGATACACATTAGGGTGGGTAAAATAATACATAGTGTTATATTAAAATGGATAAGGCAGCAACTGCAGCAGCAGCAGCAACTGCAGCAGCAGCAACTGCAGCAGCAGCAGCAACTGCAGCAGCAGCAGAAACTGCAGCAGCAGCAGTACCTGCAGCTCCCTTTGATGCTGTTAATCCTGCATAATGCACATGCATATGTAGTACTAATCACATTCCTGCATTTCCCATAAATATGCTAAATTCATCTTGATATGCAAATTCCTTTGTCAAGGCGCCCAGCTTATATATATGCTCCAAGCTCGTGTGCTGTTTCATTCAGACTCTGTCGCCTCGACGGACCTGGTTTTTCACCTGAGGACGGCTGCTTGCGTTGTGGCCGAAACGTCGTGAGAATTGTTTTATTATGTTTTATTTTTATTATTTTATTACTTTCCTTCTACGTGACTTTACCGAAAGAACCAAGAAGATGAATCCCTGCAGTCACGAAAGCTTTAAATCGAAATTTAACCGCCTCTACGGGGAAGGTTTCCACATAACTTTGAGATCCTTCAACAAGCTCCGTGATAAGAAGGCTCAGCTAATCGAGTCTCTCACCTTTCTGAAGAGATGCCGCGACTCTAAGGTAATACCAAACGCATTTACACTAACATCTGCTGCTGTAACTTCTTCTAATGCGAAACGAATTCTGTCTAGATCTAGCTTAGCTCTTATCTCAGAGAAAATCAGACTTACGCGCACCGAACTAGATCAGTTAGACAAGACACTCTACAAATCACACTAATCTTTGAGTGCAACAATGTCCACATCGGATTTGGAACATGTAGAAAAAATGACTGCCTCTTCAGCTGCCGCTATGTCGACTAAATGTAAAGACAACTTGATTTCCAAATTCAACCACCTCTCAAACAAGAAACCGGACCCACACATTGAAAAGCTAGATGTTAACAAAGTCGTAATTAATCGCATTAACAGTCCTATTTCTGAAGGTCTGAAATCCGTTTTAGCTAAAGGACTAAACTTTGCATTCACACCTAGACACATACCAGTTAATGATATAATTGCTCGAGTAGATGTAGCTCTCAAGGGCTTGAGTCACATCGCTGCAGACGTAGCAAGATCTGAAATCTCTGCAACCCTCAAAAACGCTAAGATGCCAGCTAGCAACATCAGCAAAGATGAGCGTTTTGAATTAGCTCAATTAAAAAAGAGGGATGACATTGTCATCCTCTCAGCCGACAAAGGCAATGCCACTGTCATCATGGACAAAATAGAATACAACAACAAAATTCAAGAACTACTCAACGATGGCAGCTATACAAAAATAAAAAGAGACCCCACCAACAGCCTCGTCACTAAAACCAACAAAATCATTTCTGATTCAACGCATTAATTGATCAGACCAAACAGTTCTCGTTGAAACCTTCTGCAGCCAGGCCACCAAGATTATACGGCTTGCCAAAGATACATAAAGAAGATACACCTCTTCGTCCCATTGTCTCTATCAACTCCCCCACCTATAAATTGGCTCGTTTTTGTCTGAAATCCTACGGCCTTTCACTGGAAAAACCACCTCTGCGGTACTAAACTCTACTGACCTGGTATCGACAATCAAGGGGATTGCCCTGTCCCCAGACGACCTGCTTGTCAGTTTTGATGTGGTTTCCTTATTCACCAAGGTTCCTGTACCTGACACCATCGCAATCATTGAAGACTTGGTTCATCAAGGACTGAATGCTGGGGTACCCCCCCTGGTGAGACACTGCTTAACCAATACATACTTCACCTGGAATGGAACTTTCTACAAGCAAACTGAGGGCACCCCAATGGGCTCCCCCCTATCTCCGGTTGTAGCCAACATCTTCATGGAGAAATTTGAGACGGACGCCATCCAGACTGCCACTCTACGCCCGACCTTATGGAAGAGGTACGTAGATGACACTTTTGTCATCTGGCCACATGGCCGGCCTGCTCTAGACCAATTTCTCGACCACATCAATTCCATACACCCAGCCATCAGATTCACCATGGAAGTCGAAAAAGATGGCAAGCTACCCTTTTTGGATGTCCTAATCAAAAGGAGACCTGATGGTTCAATGAGCCACTCTGTCTACAGGAAAGCCACCCATACGGATGCTTACCTAAAACCGGATTCCCACCACCATCCATCCCAGAAGAATTCCCTCATCAAGACTCTATATCATAGAGCCCAATGCATTTCCGACCAGGAACACATTGGCAGGGAACTCAAACACGTACGCCAAGCTCTTAAGGCTAATGGTTACTCCGACTACACAATCCGAAAAGCCATCACTCCAACCATCAAGAAGGATCCTGTTGAGGAGCCTTTCAAGACCATCACCTTACCCTACATTGCTGGGGTCACAAAAAAGATCTTCAAAATCCTGATTAAACACAAGATCCAGGTCCGATTCAACACAGTACATAAAATCCGTGATCTGGTACCGTCTGTAAAAGATGTGGTTCCAGACATACAGTACCCTGGCGTCTACAAACTAAGTTTCCTCTGTGGTAGCAGTTACATTGGGGAAACCAAACGACATGTCTCGGACCGCATCCGTGAACATAAAGCAGACCTGAAACACGGTAGGACAAACACCTCAGCCGTGGCAGATCACTGTTACAACTCAGTGGGCTCACATGACATTGACTTCTCCAAGACAGAGGTTCTCTGCAAGCCATCTGGCTATCATGAGAGATTCGTTCATGAGGCGATCCACATATACAAACACAGAGACAATTTTAACCGAGAAGATGGATTCTGGCTTAGCAATCATTGGAAGGACCTAATAAACCATTTCGGATCTTAACTGATTGGGTTCACGTTTATGGTGACTTTCAGACCGCGTTCCACTCACTGGCATGGTGCAGTGTGCAGAGTAATGTATGGTGTCGTAATTATATAGTAAATATATAGCAGTGTGATACACATTAGGGTGGGTAAAATAATACATAGTGTTATATGAAAATGGATAAGGCAGCAACTGCAGCAGCAGCAGCAACTGCAGCAGCAGCAACTGCAGCAGCAGCAGCAACTGCAGCAGCAGCAGCAACTGCAGCAGCAGCAGAAACTGCAGCAGCAGTAGAAACTGCAGCAGCAGCAAAAACTGCAGCAGCAGCAACTGCAGCAGCAGCAGTACCTGCAGCTCCCTTTGATGCTGTTAATCCTGCATAATGCACATGTAGTACTAATCACATTCCTGCATTTCCCATAAATATGCTAAATTCCTCTTGATATGCAAATTCCTTTGTCAAGGCGCCCAGCTTATATATATGCTCCAAGCTCGTGTGCTGTTTCATTCAGACTCTGTCACCTCGACGGACCTGGTTTTTCACCTGAGGACGGCTGCTTGCGTTGTGGCCGAAACGTCGTGAGAATTGTTTTATTATGTTTTATTTTTATTATTTTATTACTTCCCTTCTACGTGACTTTACCGAAAGAACCAAGAAGATTCTTGGGTCATTATAGTAGTAAATTTGGCATACAGTACAGCACGTATATCCATTGTGATGTGTCAATTTTTGGTTGCCTTGTACGTAATCTCATTATTTAGGGAAAGCTTAAGTATTGAATATCACGCTTTTGGCTTTTACTGCACTTTCCAAAAATGTAACCACCTTGATATACAAGGGACTCCTCATAAAGGCGTCAGGGTTGGGATAAAACCCTCGACTTCCTCCATACCAGGCGAGGTAGTTAACATCTCCTAGCCACCAAGCTAATTCTGTCTCTGTGGCAATGATTGTCCATGCTTCGCACAAGCAAATCCTGTAAAAGCATAACTCGCTTGTTGTGTCTCCACATAAATCAGAATGTGATGTTTGAATCCATCAGCCTAATGGCTTTTCCCACCAACATTACCAGCAGGATTTGTTTTAAGCAACATAATTATACCGGCTTCCATTTGGGTTTCATTATTTAGGCTTGTTAAACTAATGGTGCTTGTTATTCAAAAAACAGCTGGCCATTTGCGCCAGTGCCACAACCCAAATTTACCAGACTTTAAATAATACTTTCCAATTATCCAATTGGTTAAAATCACAGAGCAGCATTGCCCTTGATGTGAAACCATGGCACACTCTACCCGTCTGTGAAACATATCGTCTTCGTAAGAGCCTTGCATTGTCGGAATGGTGCAAATACGTCTGGTAATGATTTCATCTAATTAGATCTGAAGAAGAGTCATTACTATAAATCTTGTGATATACATTAGGTTGGGTAGAATAATACATAGTGTAACATTACAATGTATAGGGGTGGTTTATAGCAATACAGTATATAATTTAACGTTGGGCAGTATATAGTATGGTGTAGACTCGTGTGATGTAAGAGAATAAAGTTTAGATGGAAGCATATTATATTTTTTACGACGTAGAATTGTAATGTATTACTTACTGTTAGTAACTCAGCTTATTGTAGAGTATATTTAGTATACTGATATTATATAGTTTATACTTTAGTTGTTTACATGGTGGTTTTAGTTACTGCAGCTACATATTATTAACACTCCTTCCCTTTATTAATGCTACCCCTATCCCCTCCCTTTGATGCTGCTAATCCTGCATAATGCACGGGCATAAGTAGTACTAATCACATACCTGCATTTCCCATATCACCTCCCTTTGATGCTGCTAATCCTGCATAATGCACGGGCATAAGTAGTACTAATCACATACCTGCATTTCCCATAAATATGCTAAATTACTCTTGATACGCAAATTCCTTTGTCAAGGCGCTCTTCCCCCTCCAACCCAGCTTAAATATACGCTGCCAAGCCTGGTGGTGTTCATTCAGACGCTGTCTTTCTGACAGACCTGTTCTTCACCTGAGGACGGCTGCTTGTGTTGTGGCTGAAACGTCGTGAGAATGTTTTATTTTTATTATTTTATTATTTCCATTCTACGTGACTTTACCGAAAGAACCAAGAAGATGCCTTCAACTTGTTTGTAAAATGTTCCATTCCAGGTGATGTATTGGTGAGGCAGTGTCTAACCAGGGCCGGTACATCAGCATTCAATCCTTGTTGGACTTGATCTTCAATGATTGCAATGGTGTCAGGCACAGGAACTTTGGTGAACAAAGAAACTACTTCGAAACTAACGAGCAAATCACCTGGAGATAGTGAGAACGTGATTTACAGTATAATCGTCAATCTCGAAAACTACTCACTTCTAAATCTTTTGTCGTCATTTTTGCATTAATTTAGTATAAATACATGTTAGTTTTTATTCATATGTTGTTTTTTCTGACTTTACCTGAACGAAAATACACAAATTGGTCTGTTTTTTCATTGAAAATATGTAAATTTCTAAATAGCACTGTCCTGGTCACAAAAGCAAAGTTTGTGGGGAATAATATCCATTTTCTATACTTTTTTGGCATAAGCAATTACGAAATAACACTTACTACTTCGGAACAAAAATTGTGTTACATAGTGTTATCAGAGGATGTTTGTTTGCATGTTCTCAACGAGTATTTATGGTTAATGCAGACTTGATTGTTGACAAAGGTATCTATTTGGTGTTTTAACATCTTGACACCTGTTTTATTGCCAGAAAGAGTAAAACCTATTCTTACTTCTTCCTACTTGTCATTTATGTACGTAGATATATATAGACAATCCGCCACTAAACTTTGGAGGCAGAGCTGCACTGCTACCTAGCACGTCCGCAGGTGGTGGATAGTGGAACGACCTTCTGTGAAGGTTAGCTGCAAAATAAGCAGCGGCAACCCTGGCGGATAAGCAGTTGTAGACCAAGCAGTGACAGCCCCACCAGGGTGTGGTTCGGACTGAAAATGCCAATGGTTTTCCTCTTCAAAAGCCACATATACTCTGTAACTATGCTGTGACATGGTGAGTATAGGTCGCCATTATAATAAGCATACCATGGGTTAACAAGTCCTCAATAGCAGAGCAGGAGGAAGAAGATGTTAACGTCTCAACAGCTGTGAAGGCGGACCAAGACTGCAGCAAAACGATATCTCCAATCGTACTGGTCTCCTTGCCATTGGATTCATGTTCACATTCTCTCAAGAACTGCGTGGAAGCTGCTGTACAACAGCTTCTCCACAATAAAATAAATCATGCTAAGGTGTGTTTCATTAAAGGAACAACATCTTCTGGCACATTCAATACAATTTTTTTGGTGACCAACTAGTGACGACGGGAGCATGAGTGTGAAGTCTAGAAGCTTCTAGCCACAAACTAGCACACAAGTGGCAGCTACAAGAAGGTTGTCTAACACTCAGCAGAAACAAGAGTGTGTTTCTGCAGCTATAACTGCGACTAAGCAGTCCTTTTAAAGGATCCACTCTGCTCACCCCACGTGGGGAACGGGCTAGAAAAGTGGCCCTAAACATAGTCTGTCTCACTCCTTCCCGACTGGATAACCACGTTCAGAAGGATCCCCATTACTGTGGTGGAAACAATCAAATTCAGATAGTTGCCTTTGGGAACTGGAATGTCAGGACCCTTATGGACATACCTAAAAGTGAACGCCCAGAATGCTGCACCATAATCGTGGCCCAGGAACTCAGACGATACAACACTGACGTGGCTGCCCTCAATGATACTCGACGAGAAGAGGAGGGGCAGCTCAAGGAACAAGGATGGCGGTACCCTCTTCGGGAAAGGCAGACAGGAAGAACAGCGGCAGCTGCACGGAGTTGGTTTCTCCATCAAGAATGAACTTGATGAGTTACCTATCGGAATCAGTGAGCGCCTCATGGCTATGTCTCAAACGGGTGGGGAGCCAATATTCCACTGTCATCAGCGTATATGCCCTGACTCTTCACTCCAATTATGAAACCAAAAAAGAATGTTATGTCAACCTTGGCTAGGTCCTTTCTACTGTTCCTGTGGGAGACAAACTTATTCTGCTCGGTGATTTTCATGCCAGAGTTGGAAGAGACATAAACGTCTGTAATGGAACCATCGGGAAGGAAGGAATGGGTGAAGTCAATTCCAACAGCATCTTTCCCTTGACTAAATGCACGGAAAATGGAGTCATCATCATCAACACTCTGTTACGCCAGAAAAACAAATACAAAACATCATGGCATCGTCTGTGATCTAAGCACCAGCACTTGATCGATTACGTCTTTGTCCATGCCCAGGATCCAAAAGATGTCTGCATCATCCAGGCTGTTCTAGTAGCTGCTGGTGGCTGGACTGATCATCGACTCATCTGCTCAACCATGCTCATAAAACTGGCTCCCAAGCGACGGCTTCATCGAAGAGATGTCTACAGAAGATTAACATTGAAGCTTTATAGGACTCCATTAAGCAAGACCTCTTCCGCCAACGCCTCAATGAAAAACTATCAAACTTGATTCACCAACAGTGGGAGAATATAGGCCGTCAGAGAAAGTGCTTCAAGGATGTCCTCAAGGCCAACATGAAGAAGTGCTCCATCGACACTACCTCAAGGAAGTCTCTTTCCCAGGATCACCTCACATGGAGACAGAGTCTATTTTAAGGAGCCAAACATTTTAAAACTTAAGAGCAGAAACAGGAAAAGTGGGAATGGCGGAAACAATAAGCTGCTGCCCGACTGACTAACGCAGTTCCACCCACCACTATTTCTGGACACGTGCCCGAGTTGCGGCAGAATCTGTCGATCCCAGATTGGTCTCTTCAGCCATCTTTGGACCCACGGAAAATCCAAATTTTCTCTGGAAGACAATCATCCTTGATTGTGAGGGAAAGCCTATGATGACACTTCTTGGGTCCCTGGTTCCATTCAGAAGCACGCAGTTGGGTTCATATTTTTACTTCCACCACAGCGTTCCGGACCCTATCCACTGCTATTTGTGACTCAGTCTATGGGCCTCTGAGTCTATAGGTTTCTATGTACAACGTTCGTGCATGGGCTTCTCTGGACAGGTAAGATATTGGTAATACGAAGCCGTAATTTTCACAGTCCCGATGTGTTTTATGCGTCGATAGCTCAAGGAGCTGGAGAAAGCCACGGCCACAGTCTTCACCAACACCACCACTGCCTCCAACGCCGCCCTGGCAGCCACATGCAGTTCTGCCGTCACCACCAGGGATGCTGCTGGGAGATGCATCGACACCCCCACCCCGACTGCTTCTGGCATATCATTCACCCCCACCGCCATGGCGCTTGATGTTGGCAGATTCAGCGCTGCCACCACAGCTGCTGCTGGCAGCTCCAATGCCGACACCACCACCCCGGCTGCTGCCTGGAGATTCATCGCCCCCTTTACCACCATGGTTGCCACATACAGATCCAATGCCGCCACCACCACCCCGGCTCTCGCCGGGAGATCCAACGCTGCCACCCTAGCAGCTGCTGGCAGCTTCCTCACTGCCACCACCACCCCGGTTGCTGCCGGGACATCCAATGCTGCCACCCCAGGTACTGATGGCAAATAAGAATCCCTGACTAAGAATTAATGGATTAAAAACATAATTTTTCTAGAAATAGATGGCACAAGCACTTGGCATGTCATTCGTGTTATATTACTCGGTTAAATCCATCCGGGTAGCTGTTGGTCATAGCATTCTGGTGGATCACGGAACATGTTGAGATATACCAGAATGGATCACAGTGCTTTGTGGTTAGTCAATAAACACCTCCGATTCATTAACAAATATTTTTGTGAAATCACCTTCACCAAAAGGGGGTCAGTGTCTTGGCTGGTTAAGAAGTGGGCATAAGCTGTCCTAAACTATGAATACATCATGACGCTAATATATCTCACCTGACTTTTTGTCCTAGTTGGCAAGGTTAAAATTGTAAATTTAAGAAAATTGCCCCACTGTTTCAACCGCTGCGATGGGAAAACGAACCAGTAACTTCTGGATTGCAAGTTCAGAGTGCACAGCGTCCGTTACTTCAAGGTAGCGTTTCTCATAACCGCCACTGATTTTTTTATTGTTCACCTCTGCTTGCGAGCACAATGTACACTTAATTAACTCTGCAGGTGTAAAACCCAGAGTGTGTGCCCACTCATGCACCTCTTACCTCTTGTTGACACCGCATGCATGATGCACTAGTACTGTCTGGGTTTTTTAGGCCGGGGAGAAGGCGAGCCCCATGGGGTGGACTCCGGAGGGTTGTAGCTTGGAATCTGTGACAGCGGACACACAAGATGGCACAAACGTACAACAAAGTTGAAGATCACCCAAATGAGCCTTAACAGACTGTGCTGCTGTTAGGCGACATGGCCCACAAGGAGGTAGGTGGCCAGCACCACGTGCATGCAGCCACCTCTGTCACCCCTGTGCTCATGTATACACACTGCACCAGGTACTCATTTAAGACAGAGTTTACCTAGGATAGCTACAACACCGGTTCAGATAAGGCAGACTATCTGCCTCAGCAGCTGTCCCCCTCTCTTTTTTTCTTCCTGATGACGAACGCTTGTATTGCGATCGAAACGTCGTAGTTTTTGTTATTTTTGGTTATTTTCTTTGAACCTATCTACGTGACGTTACCGAAAGACCCAAAGAATATGAATTCCTGCAGTCATGAAAGCTTTAAGTCAAGATTTATTATTACATTTGTTTACCCTGAAAAAACTCAAGACTCTTCTTCATCTTCATGAGCGTCCTGCAAAGTTTTTGCCGTCGCTGTGTAGTCCCAATTGAGTAATTTGCAGGTGATTTTTGAGTATTGGGATGCTTTGTCCAATGCCAGACTCGTTGTATTGGGTATTTTTTTTACTATGGAAAGAAACTAGAGAACGCGGAGGAGACTCAAAAGAGGGGGAGAACATACAATCATCACACACTCACACATTCGCGTTAACTCACTCGCACACACCCTCACTCAAACACTCCATTGCACTTACACACTCTGATGAACAGGGGGAGAGATGCTAACTCCACGCAGAAACGCGCTCGAGTCGGGAATCAAACCCATGTTTCTTGCTGCAAGGCGCAAGGGTTACTTACCAATGTGCCACCCTGCCGCCTATGGCGACGCGTAAACTACATCAATACCAGTTTCCACGGACCCCTTTCATATGTACCCTGCGCCAGGGGGACACTGGGGACAGCTGCCCTTTTTCAGCCGCGGCCTTGCAAGCGGGCTTTACCCTGCCAGTTGGTTTGTGATGTTATTAGGCGGTTTCCCCAATGGAAGAATTTGCGAGTAACTTCCTCAAATTTGGATAATTACGCCGCACAACACTTGGCCGATTTTCTTTTTCGAATCATGTACGTGTTCGTTCTAACAGTGTCGACTGCGAAGCAAGACTGCGGTACTAACCAGAGCGGCCACCGGCCTTGAATCGAGACCCTCTGCAACAATTCGATAAATACGCTGCTGTTTAAAGTTTATCAGAACGGAGAATGCATTCGTTTAAAGAGTGCATGTTTGATCGTGTTAGTTGTGTAAGACGTATGCTGTGAATTACTCTGCAAAACAATTTGATATTATAGATGTTTCGTTGATCACATGCCGCGTTAAATATGTATACTCTTTGGTTCTTTCGGTAAAGTCACGTAGGTATAAAATAACTTTACCGAAATAACCAAACAGTATGGATCTCTGCAGTCACGAAAACTTCAAATCTAGATTAAATATGTATACTTGAATCCGAACAATAAGAAAGATTTTAATTGCTTGCTTTTGCATAGAGATTTGATTTAATAGAATAAGCGCCCACGTACAAATGAGCAACATCTCATAATACAAATCAAATTCCTCTCTCCAATATTATACATTTTCAAGAAGTAAAATTTCAAGGGGTATTTCATTATATGATGTGACTCCAGAACCTCACTTTGGTTCTTTCGGAAAAATTATATTTTATATATTTTATCGTCTATATTTCGTCTTTTGACCTGGACGTGTACGGGCCGGATAGACCACGTGCTGAACGTGGTACGTGTGGGCTGCCTTCGGCCACTCGCTAAAGACCCGCCGCCGAGGTTGCCGAGCTATACACACCTTTCCTTGTTGAGCGTCACAGCTGCAGAGGTTCATTCACTTTTGAAGGTCCTCCAGCTTCGCAGATCCTCAACAACTCACAACAGTGGAGTAAATTTACCTACGGGATGATGACCGTTATGATCAGGATACTGTAATGGCATTGCTCTTGCTGCTGCTGCCAATATTAAAGTTGTTTCTGATGACGATGTTGTGGCTGCTGCTGTAGCACTCAATGTAGGAATCAAATAAATGCAGTGCTCGTGTAACGTTTTGATAACTGTCAATGCAAAGGGGAACGTATGAGTTTAATGTCAGTATTCAATAACATCTGGAGAAGCAAGCAAATCTGTTGCAAGACCAAGCTGAACATCTTAAGAACATGCGGGTTCAGTAACACCTTTGTATGCCTGCGAGACTTATTAAAAAAAAGACTAACAGAGATAAGATACTGTCACTCGAAATGTATTGCTACAGAAAGATGCCGCATCTAAGCGGGACACAAAGAGTGACAACCGTAGAAGTGAGAAAAAGGTTGCACATAGAAGACAACCTGATGATGATGCAGGCAGTGATGGGAAGGAAACTGCCACTATTTGGACAACAGGAAAATTTAAAGTGTGTTGTTCAGAAAAATGGAAGGAACCGGAAAGAGAGGAAGAGCTAACAGAGAATGGTTTGACGACGACATCATTAAGAGATTGGTGCCAGAAGATGTAGCCACTACCTGAGACATATTGGCACTACAAGACAGAGAGGAAAGTGGAAAGAACAAATGACGAAATGTGCAATGGACACCTACTACTACGAGCTATCTGCCCATGGAGTTTAAATTCACTTTTGCACCACATTCCCCTGACTAACGTGCAGTATTTGCCCCACGTAAGGTTCGAGGGTTAACGCCACTGGTAAAACAAGTCACAGCAACCTGAACCGTTAACAAGAAAGGTAAGTTTGACAATGCGAGAGGATGTTCCAGATTCGTGGCATTGTTGCTAATGCTGACATTATCCCGACTTGCTGCTAATGATGACGATGTCGCTGCTGCTGATGCTACTTCTGTTTTTGATCATATAACTGCTGCTGATGATGATGCTGATGATGATATTGCTGTTTTTGATCATGTAACTGCTGCTGTCACACTGGATGTAGAAATGTACGATATGCTAAATTAAGTTTATTCTAAATTTAGGAAACAGAAAAAATGTAAATATGGAGTTTTAGTTACATTTTGCATTAACGTGCAGTCATTTCCCTATGCAAGGCTCCAGGCCAAAGTGGCGCAGAAGAAATCTCAGTGAAGTTATCTGGCTTTGTGCATGCACAACAGCTGATGTCACGTATCCCCCCCCAACCCTCTGCGTCGGCCGTGTATCCCGCAGAAATCCATAGAAAGGAAGCAGGGACTCGGGCATGACCACCTCAGCAGTACTTAATTCAGCTCACTTGGTTTCTATAATTAAGGACATTTCACTATCTCCAGATTATTTGCTTGTCAGCTTCGATGTAGTCTCTCTGTTCACCAAGGTAACTGTACCTAACACCAAAGCAATCATTGAAGACTTGGTCCAAAAGGGACTGAATCCTGATGTACCAACTTTGGTGAGGAACTGCCTTACCAACACTTACTTCATCTGGAATGGTACATTCTACAAACAAAATTAAGGTACCCCTATGGGTTCTCCCTTATCACCAGTGGTAGCGAATGTTTTCATGGATAAATTTTAAACATATGCCATCTTGACATCCACCCTACATCATTCCCTGTGGAAGAGATACATAGATGACACTAACGTCATCTGGCCAAAAGCGCCAGCCAGCATTGAACTCGTTTTTCAACCACATCAATTCCATCCACCCATCCATCAAATTCACCATGGAAGTGGAAAATGATGGCAAGCTACAATTCCTGGATGTTTTGATCGAGAAGAGGCCTAATGGCTCGTTGGGACATTCCGTCTACAGGAAAGCCACCCACATTCCTATCTAAAGCCTGACTCCCACCACCATCCGGCCCAGAAGAACTCCCTCATCAAAACACTACACCATAGGACCCGCTGCATCTCCGTCCAGCGCCAACTAGCCAGTGAACTGGAGCACGTACACCAAGCCCTCAAAATGAATGGATACTCAGACTGCACAATCCGCAAAGCTGTATCCCCAACCATGGGGAGACAACCATCTGAGCACCCAATCAAAACCATCACCTTGCCATACATAGCAGGTGTTACCAAAAAAATGTCCAAAATCTTAAACAAACACAAGATCCAGGTCCGATTCAATACGGTACACAAAATCCATGATTTGATCCATCTGTGAAGGATGTCATTCCTAACATGCAATACCCTGGCATCTACAAACCAAGTTGTGTCTGCGGCAGCAGTTACATTGCGGAAACGAAACGACATGTCTCGGACCGTGTTTCGCAAACACAAGGCAGATTTGAAACACGGCTGTTATCTCCGACTGCATTGCCCTGTTAGGTGCCTCTGCATTAACGGGCTGTAGTCTCACTAACATGGCCACCTCTGCTCCCTTAGCCTTGATGTATCGATGGTTCTAGCTGTGTGATGGGCTTTGTGTATCACTGACGCGATCACCGTTGCGGTGGTTCTCTTGCGTGGACGCGCTTGCCTCACAGTGCAGTTGGCAGCGCCGGAGCTTGTGCTACACATAGACATGACATTAACTTGCTAATCCCCTAATCTCCCTGCTAATCTCCCATTAACACTGCTGTTGTGCGCATATGCGACAATACTCTTATGCAGCGACGGTAGCTCATTTCATGCAAATCTCTCTCCCTAATCTCTCTCTCCCTAATCTCCCCCATTAACACAACTGACGTACTTGCGTCCGGGGATGGAATTCCTTTCCAACTCATACCCCACTTGCTTGCCCATCGCCACGTAAATAACCTTGTTGTAACAGCTCTCTCGCTGGTTCAGCAGTTCCACTGCTGGATTATTTTTTCCGCCTGAGGATGACCGCTTTGTGTTGCGATCGAAACGTCGTGATATATTATTTGGTTTATTTTATTTTTCTACCTACGTGACTTTACCAAAAGAACCAAAGAGTATGGATTCCTGCAGTCACGAAAGCTTCAAATCATTTGCTTTAATGAATACATTTTATATTAGTGTGTCTTCGCAATGTTACACAGTAAATATAATCTTCAAGGACAACTCTTACAGTCCCATCATTACCACCATCTTCATAATCACCATCATCACCAAATGTATCATCATTATCATCCTAACCGTCTGTATGATCAATCACAATCTGTATCATCACCACCAAAGACAAAGACTCCCCATATAGCCCTAATAGACTGTTGGAGCAAGTGCTGTTAGCGAGCACCTATGAAGGCCAGCATGGCACACGAGGGGTGGATGGTCAACACCACCCCCGGCCACCTTTGTCTCCCCAGCAGTGTTTACACAACACCAGGTACTTATTTAGGGCTGAGTCGACCTAGGAGAGGCCCATGACCGTTTCAGATAATCGTTTCCTGCGTTTGGCATGAGCGAGAATTTAGATCGGGTCGCCGGGTTCGTAGCGCAGTGTGCTAAACGCTACGCTACCCCTACCCACCACCTGTATCACCATCATCTTCCAGAGTTATATATTTAATGTCAATAGCTGGAAATGCTTGTATTTGTAATTTTAAAAAATCATAAGTATTTGTCTCTCACACTCACCCTCGGGAGTCCTGATTCCACTTCTGGGAGTGTCAATTACAACGCCATGGAATTGTATATGTTGACACATGTCCAAGCATATGTGTTTGTGTGCACGTATGTGTGTATGCATGCCTTCATATGTGCGTGCGTATGTATGCGCGTGTCTGCACGTGCGTGTGTGGAAAATAACTTTAGCCATGACATTTGGGATCTATTAGGTTTAGGGTTAAGAACTCACCAGTGTGGAGCTCACCGGTGAGCTGGTGTGTACGCTGTCTAATCTGTAAGCTCACTACTGTGTGTGTGCGCCCACGAGTGTGTAAGCTCACTGATATGTAAACCTGCTGGTGTGTGCTCTTTGGTGTGTGGCCTCACTAATGTCCAGCACATTTTTGTGGAAGCTCACTAGTGTGCAAGCACACGAGTGTGCCGGTGAGTGTGTGTGAGTGCAGTGTGTGTGAGTGTGTGAGTGTGCAGTGAGTGCCAGTGTGTGAGTGTGTTGGCGAGTGTGTGGCTTGACGTGTCTCCGTATCAGTATTAATCAGCCACCCCCTTACTTGCCCACGCAAAGATCAGTCCTGCCCACCAGAGAGCTACATGCGATTCAAATGTCCACGTCCACATGACATCACATTGCGATGCGCATGTGTGACATACATGTCCCACGTGTTGCACACACTACGCACGTCACATGCACAAAGGGCATGCCTTACAAGTGATGAACACGCAATGCAGGTGCTTGCCTCGTATGTCACGTACACGTGACGCAACGTGGCCCGTGCGCGTAACATGTGCTCCGCGCTGCCGTACTTTGGCCAGAGCCGTCAATAACGGGGTGCGTGGGCCCCCCGATGCCTTCAAACTAAACTGGAAGCATTACATGTAACACTGATGTCTACACGCGGGGCCTCCCCCAAAGCGGTGGGCCGAATTTGCCGTATACTAGGGGACGGCTCTTTATTTGGCATACGCGACACGCACGTTGTGTGCGCTGTGCGTGGGATGCCTTGCCCGATGTGCGTGCCGGGCAGGGCAAGGGGGACTGCCATTGATTGTGTCGAGACTTTTTGCATGAGTGACGAGATGAACGCCCAAATTCAACGCAGGCCGCCACACAAGGGCTGCACATTTCAATGTTGAGCAGGTCCCTGTGTGTCCGTGCGTGCGGGTTCGTGTGTGTTTTTTTCTGTGTGCGTTATGTGAGGGTAGCAGTGGCGCAGTGGATAGTAAGCGACGCTCCGAACCCCGCAAACATCCGAGTTGGATTCCCGCTCATGGCCAACACCAGTGACGAATACCTGGAGCGTCACCACTTGGGAGACAAAGGCGGCCGGGTGTGGTGTTGGCCACCCACCCCCTGGTAGACCGTGCCGACCTTAAATTTTGATTTAAAGCTTTCGTGACTGCAGGGATTCATCTTCTTGTTTCTTTCGGTAAAGTCACGTAGAAGGGAAGTAATAAAATAATAAAAATAAAACATAATAAAATTATGCCAGATTAACAGCATCAAAGAGAGCTGCAGTTGCAGCTCCCTTTGATGCTGTTAATCCTGCATAATGCACATGCATATGTAGTACTAATCACATTCCTGCATTTCCCATAAATATGCTAAATTCCTCTTGATATGCAAATTCCTTTGTCAAGGCGCCCAGCTTATATATATGCTCCAAGCTCGTGTGCTGTTTCATTCAGATTCTGTCGCCTCGACGGACCTGGTTTTCACCTGAGGACGGCTGCTTGCGTTGTGGCCGAAACGTCGTGAGAATAATTTTATTATGTTTTATTTTTATTATTTTATTACTTCCCTTCTACGTGACTTTACCGAAAGAACCAAGAAGACGTGCCGACCTTCATAGGTGCTTGTCAACAGCACTTGCCACAACAGTCTGTTAAGGCTATATGGGGGATATTCATCTTTGTAGTGGGAAACCCGTAGGTGTGTGCATGTGAGGGCAGAAACCTGTACTGCTGTCGTACTTTGTGACCGGGCGAGGCCAATTTCGTCCTCATGGTAGACCAGGGAGTCCTGGTCTTCGTACTGCTGCTTGTTTTTGGCCGCAATGACACCCAACATGGACGACCCCATCACCTGCGTTCAAACAAGTGTTACACAGTACATACACACGCGCAATAAAGCAACCACAAAGCACATACACTATTAAATTTAATATAAAACCACTGTGGGTCATTCCGATGGCAGCACAAACAGAAGCTGCATCCATAACTTCCCAATCTCCACAGTCCCAGGCCAAGGTCCATCCAATTAATTAATACAAATATATACTTATTAGAGGGTGTTTTTGTTTGTTTGGGTTAGATCGCGTAAATATTAGTAAGGTTTGTCACGTAAACAAAACATGCCAATTAGTTACTAGTTCAGCACATCGGTGTGTTGGAGAATAAACCCACAACATTAACAATTCAAGTACCGTGACGTTTCGCCTGTAACTACAACAACAACTTGCCTCGTCAGGCGACAGACAGAGTTGTGGTGAAATCCTCCCGCTGTCTCGGTCTTAAATAGACGGGGGATAAATGTGATGTCGTCACTTGTACGCATATCGGATACGAAGACATGTAAATTACAATGGATATCTGTTATTGGTTGGGTTATTCACAGTTCATCAACAGACAATGGCACACGAGCAGTCCATGCGGTCCGCACCACGCCCGGCCGCCTTCGTCTCGCCAGTGTTGACGTTTACACAACTCTACTCGGTTAAGGCTGAGTCGACCTTGAGGGAGGCTCGGGACAGGTGAATGAACTTGGCTGGCTGAGCACAACGTAGCTACGGTAGCAAGTTGCCACGGGGTTCTACAGCAAAGTGGCAGAGCCCCCCCTCTACACCGCTCCCATCCCCCGCGCGGCCCTCACGGCCCCTCCACCTCACCGCGTGCGACTCGCACACACACACAGGGTCTACTACTGGCCCCTACGTGTTTACAGCATGTTAAACACTTCTTTCACGCCGTACATAGTGGACACTGTGTGTGTGTGTGCTGCGAGCTGAGTGGTGGAGGTACCTGGCAACAGTTGAACCGAGCCCACTCGGCCTCTTCATCCGTGGCGACCAGAGTACAGTCGTAACTATATTCTTGGTTCTTTCGGGTAAAGTCACGTAGATAGAAAATAACAATAAAATAAAAATAAATTAAAATAAAAGCAAAAAACCCGCGACGTTTCGATCGCAACACGTGATGAAGACCGCTTGTGTTGCGATCGAAACGTCGTGGGGTTTTTGCTTTAATTTAAAATGTTATTTTCTATCTACGTGACTTTACCGAAAGAACAAAAGATATGAATTCCTGCAAGTCACGAAAGTTTAAAGTCAAAATTGACAGTCGCAACGACTCAGGCCTGGAGGATGCAGTGGACCACGTGGGCTTCAGGTTTGTTACCTTAGCAACCAGTGACGTCACTTCCCTAGCAACGGTCGACCATTACGGACTGTTCTTCGTGGGAGGTGGACGCGCTCTCCGTGTGCTTGAAGATCGCATTCGGGAGCACTCTTCGCCCACGTCGTCAATAAACATCGTTAACGCGGTTAAATTACTTGGTAAACCTGACAAACATCAGTGAGGTTGAACGCTTCATTAACATAGTTGCCAAATCTATTGACAAACGTGACCATCCGTGATTTCTCTTTCGGCCTTCAAGGCGACATCTTCCGTGAGTACATCTGTATTCTTGACTGTATACAATGCAAAAAGTATAAAAATAAACGTTTGTATTTGGGGGGGGATGGGGCGCAATAATGGGTATAATATATTTCACGCAAGTGAGCTGTGACGTCACAGATGTGACGTCACAGCTCGCGTGAAATATATCAAGTCTGTGACGTCACCACTCACTTGCCGTGCAATATTTCACATCTGTGACGTCACAGATGTGACGTCAAAGACATCACATCTGTGACGTCACCCGCATCCAGCAGCGTTACGCAGTGTGCCTGCTGACGTCACGCATCCCCCCACCAAACCTCCGCGTAGGCCGGGTATCCCGCACAAAAGCGCGGCGGGAAATAATGGATATATACTAGACTACAAACTTTCAATTTGGCATGTGGCTAGCTTCCATACTGTACACAATGTAAAAAGTATAAAAATATACTTTTTTTATTTGGGTGGGGGGGGGGGAAACCATGGATCTGACATTGCACGACAAGTGAGTGGGGACGTCACATCAGTGATGTTACCCGCATGCGGCAGCGTTACGCAGTGTGCCTGCTGACGTCGTCACGCATCCCCCCCCATCCTCCGCATAGGCCGTGTATTAATCCAAGACAGGGAAGCCAATTGGCATCAATGGGAGGGCGAACAGCCAAGGAATTTCACCAGTGTGCTTTTTCTATTCACAAATCGTCTTTTTTGATCCACAAATCGTGACAGGAATCACTGCTGATTAAAAGAAAATGCCTCTGCTTGATCACTGCTTGGTCACGTAAACACAAGTATTAAGAATCATAGTTTGATCACTGCTCGATCAATGCTCGATCACATAGACACATGTAATGTGGTGCCATGGTGGCGAAATGTTAACTACCTCGCCTGGTGTACAGGAGGTTGTGGGTTCGAGCCCAACCCTGACGCCTGGCTGAGATCAATTTCCATGTGATAAGCCACTTTAATGAGCTGTCATTTGTGGCCAGGACACATCTGAAAAAGAGCTATGTCGTTCAGTGGGCCTTACCTGGTAAAATAAGAACAATTAATAGTTTTATTTATTTATTATCTAATTTGTCAACGCTCGAACAATGCTCGATCACATAGAAACAAATATTCAACATTTTATTGCTATATCACTGCTCGATCACATAGACGCATGTATTCAAAATGTCACACCGTGACCACTGCTCAATCACTGCTCGATCACATAGACAGATGTATTCAAAATGTCATATCTGGATCACTGCTGAATCAATGATCAATCATTTCGAAGTACATATTAAAATGTCATAGCCTGATCACTGCTCGATCAAATATACACACACTCAATCGCTGCTTAATCAATGCTCGATCTTATAGATGGATGTATTCAAAATGTCATAGGTCAATCACTCCTTGAACACATAGATGTAATCCAAAATGACATAGCTCGTTCACTAAGTATACGGTAGGTGCCACAAGTTGTGAGTCATGGAGTTAGTTGGCAACATTTGACCCGAGATCACTCAGCTTCATTATCTGTGACATCTAGGTGCTGTGGGTACGCGGTCTCCCCAGTGGCTCCAATAAGTGGTGACTTCGGTTCTCCGTGGGGTTCGGGAGTTCTTGCCGTGCGGTTGAGCATCACATCCGGGACAATACTTCATCAACATCGCCGCTTCATCAACATCGCCAAGAACTTTCGTTAACACAGTTAACTGACTTAGTAAACTTCGTTGACTAACATCAACGAGGTTGAACACGTCAGTAACATAGTTAACAAAGTTGTTGACAAACGCGAACATCCACGACATCTTTTGTACCGTCAAGGCGATATCTTCCGTGAGTACATTCGCCCCTCGCATTCGTCCAGATGCGTGCTATAACAGGATAAAATTTACCTGCGACAAAATATTGATACATTATGTTCATGCTTAGGGAAACCAATCAGGTACAATGGGAGGGCTGACAGCCAAAAAAATCCACCATTGGACTTTTTTGTTCCACAAATCATCTTTTTTACGATACATAAATTTTCTTACAGGAATCACTTTACCGATAAAAAAAATCACCTTTGCTTAATCACTGATTCATCACGTACACACATTTATTCAAAATGTCACATAGCTCTCTCAGTCCTCAAACAATTAGATAATATGTATTCAAAATGTCATAGCTCGACACAACTGATCCGTACATGGTGGACATCATGTGTGTGTGCCCCAAATTGTGAGTTATGGAGTCAGTTAGCAACATTTGACCCGAGCTCACTCGGCTTCATCATCTGTGGCGTCTAGGTGCTGTGGGTACGCGGTATCCCCAGTGGCTCCAACAAGTGGGGACTTCGGTTCTCCGTGGGGTTCTGGAGTTCTTGCCGTGCGGTTGAGCATCGCATCCGGGACTACACTTCATCAACATCGCCGCTTCATCAACATCGCCAAGAACTATTGTTAACACAGTTAACTGACTTAGTAAACTTCGTTGACTAACATCAGCGAGGTTGAACACGTCAGTAACATCGTTAACAAAGTCGTTGACAAAGTGAACATCCACGACATCTCTTTGTACCGTCAAGACTATGTCTTCCGTGAGTACATTTGTCCCTTTTGCATTCGTCGACACACATGCACATATGTTACACACACCCGCGTGTCGCCTTCACACAGACAAACAGACAGACGAATGTCACCCTAGATTCGTATGGGCGGCTGGGGAAAGCGTTGTTCGTGCGCTTCTATTAAGACTAAGGCAGCAAACAAGTGATCCTTTTGGTCCGCACCATGCTGCCTTTCCCTCCCCAGTGTTGATGTTTATACACTGCACTGGGTCATCAGTGAAAGCTTAGTCGACCTTTCCCTATTTCCTCACCCCCGCGTGGCCCCCTACAGAACCCCCCCCGCCTGAGCGGGATAGGGGTTGGGGCTACGGGAGGGGATGTGGGATCCACGTGGGGGGACAGAGGGCAAGTGGGGGGCGTCCCGTTGTGCTATTTTTCCGTAGACTTGCAATACTTTGCCGTAATTGGTCGAAGCGGTATCCACACGCGTGAAGTTAGATTTGGGGAGTGACACACGTGGGGAGGGACCCTGGGAGTGAGAAATAAGATTATGGTTACCATGGTGATCATTATGGTGGTGATGATGAAGACGGTAATGATGGTGGTTATAAGCTGTGATGTGATTAGAGTCTCACGTGCGCTGCTGTGATTTTGTTGCAGGGTGGAGAGAAGAGCAAGCCGAGGGGAAGTGAGTACTGAAATTCCACACACAGACATACACACAGACACATGCACCTGTATACAAAAACAGATCCCCGTATAGCCTTAACAGACTATTGAGGCAAGTGCTGTTAGCGAGTTAGCACCTATGATGGGGTGGGTGGTCAGCACTGCACCCGGATGCCTTTGATGTTTATACGTTGCACAAGATACTATTTTAAGTCTGAGGAGATGTAGGGGAGGCACACGACTGGTTTGATTTATTAGGCACTGATGGTTGTGAATGGGAATCGAACTCAGGTCGATCCTCACAGACACTACTGCTCCCAACCACTCATACAGACACTGCATATAGACACAAACAAAGACAGAAATATTGTGTATAGCCTTGAAACACTTTAGGAGCAAGTGTTGTTAGTGAGCACCTTTGACGGCCGGCACCTCACACGAGGGTGGGTTGCCAGCACCACACTTGGCCGTCTTTGTCTCCCAAGTGGCGATGTTTACACACCGCATCAGATACCTATTTGAGGCTGAGTGGACCTAGGGGAGGCCCCTAACCGGCTCAGATAACAACAACAGCCCTCATTCGCCACTAAGTGACGGAGACGTCACCATGGCGCTTGTGCCAGGCTTGGTGCACTCCGAGGCCACTTGAAGTGTCGAAGGCTTGCCGACAGGAGATCAGGGGACAGACCCCAGTGCGATGGGTTGACTGACTGAGATGACTCGCACCATCATTGCATCCTATTGTGCCAACTTGCTGCGTTTTAGTCATCCAGTGCACCTCCTGTTGTTGTGAGCGTCGCTCTTCTGCCCTCCTTATTTGCTGGAGGGAAATTTTCACCAACTGCCCATGAGCATCCTTCACGAGCTTCCTCCATAGAGGCCGATCTTGACACCAGTGGTACCATAATTGACACCAGTGGTACCAGTCTTTGGCAAGTCCACTCAGCTCCGTATCCTCCTGTACTGCATCAGTCCATCTCTTCTCCAGGCCGTGCCACGCCCATTTAGCCCCCTCTATCTGGAAAAACAGCAGCTACTTGGGCATGCGGTGGCTGAGCATGCGGGCTACATGACCCAGACAATGCAGCCCTGCCCACCAGTGGAGCTCACTGATGGGAATGTGTCCATATCTTTCAAGGATTTGTGAGCTCTTCACACATTCCAGCCTAGTTAAACCCAGGGTAGATTGTAGGCAGGCCAGTCTGAAAGTTTAAAGCTGGTTCAGAGTTTTTCATTTATTTCATCATTGGCCAAGAAGACCCAGTGAGTGACAGGCGAGGTAGATACCCCACAGTGTTACGAAGCTGATGAAAATATGCCACTTGACCGATTCTGAGTGAGACCTCTGCTGCCAAACCGGAATTTTTGCATAAGCACACTACCCAGGTACGTAAACTTCTCCTCTCTCTCTACAACTACCCCATCACTCATGAGTAGTTGAGGGGGCGGAGTATTAAATTATACAAAATACTCATGGGGGTGCTTAGTTTTGGTAGGGCTGATGGTAAGGCCCCACCTCTTTGTCGCACTCTCCAGGCTTATCTGCAGAACTACCAAATTATCAGTGTACATACCATGGTTGACCAGGAGGGAGCCATCCCTTGACCTCACCCAGGCATCAATCAGCCTCCCATTGTATCTGTACCAAATATAAAAAAAAATCCACCGGTACAGCCATAAAAAGCTAGAACTATGTGGTCGAAGATGATGCTAAATAATGTGTCAGCCAGAGTAGATCCCTGTCGCACCCCACTGTAAACAGGGAATTGCTCTGACTCCCGGGCAAACAACTTTATCCGGGCCTGCCCACTATCATGAAGGTCCTTAATGATTGGGAGCAGAGGGTTTGGGACTCCGAAAGCACGAATAACAATAAAGAGCCCTGGCCTACTGATTGTATCATAGGCCTTGACCAGGTCAATAAAGCAGAGATGTAGGTCTCTTTGAAATTCATTACACCTCTGCTGTAGCACACGGAGAGAGAATATGGCATCCGTGCAGGATGCCCTCGGCCTGAAACCACATTAGGGGTCCGCAAGCCTCTCCTCAGTGTGCCTGGCAAGGGAATGTTGAATAATCCTTGCCAGGACCTTCCTAAATACACCGGGGTGGGAGATGCCTGATACTTGTTGCAATGTGTGCGGTCCTCGTTCTTAAAGAGTGGGACCACCAGGGAATCCTTCCAATCCTGTGGAACCCATCTTGTGGTCCAGACAGTTGTGATGAAGACATGTAGGGCATTCTGCACACAGGCGCCACCCTCCCGCAGCAGTTTGATTAGGAAATTACCTTTTCCCGGCGCTTTTCCTGGTCTTGGACAGATGGCACCTCAGCCAGCCACTCACGAAGGGAGGCTACTTATACCAATATTTGAGGCAACGCAGCCCCAGCAGGGTCATCCCCACCTTGCCCCATAATGTTTTTCTCGTCTGCAGGTTTGCAAAGCAATTCTATAAGGTCTTGGGGTTCAGATAACACACACAAACACACTGATACTGATATATAGGTATGCTAATGCCTCGACATTCACGAGGGTTAGATTCTTGAAAATTTGCATGAAAGTAGATTTCGTGAATGCAGATACTATGTTTATATGGGGGAAAAAGGAGGTTTCGGGTCCCGTGTCCGACTGAACATATTGGAGAGTAAAAAATATTAAAAACATTAATTCTGTACTGTATACTTAAATAACAACTAAATTGTAATTAAATTGTATAATAATACATGTAGATAACTAAAATGAAACAAGAAGAGAAAGTCAAAGTGTCCTCTCGGGGGTCGTCCACATTGGTGGAAGTGCTGCCACACTTTCCCTAATTGCCTTCGAATTTTTTCTTCATAAATCTGACTGTTGACTCGTTTACCATGTAATGGCGGCCAACAGCAGATGCACAGTAACCACGAGCAAGTCTATAAAACAACTCATCTCTTTTTTCCACCTTTTCCTCTTGCCATCACTTCCTTTACCCACTTGAGGCTGACTCCATTATCTAAATAAATAAAAAACACCACCATGAGACAAAAACAGGGGAGAGAGGCATGGGGAAACAAAGACGGGGAGTCAGACAAATATATATGGAGATGTAGTTCTGGCAGGTATTTATAATTGATTGAAATATTGTATTTGTTTTGGTATGATTGCTTTGTTAACTACAATCACAGAAGCCAAGGTTATTGTCCACATTCTTAGATATATAACATGTGTAATGTAGGATTCTGGAGACAGTAACTGTAGAGGCACCTTTATTTATATTACTCGTACTCACTAGACGACTCACTAAGCATATAATGTAACGCTGACCGTCAAGCTCGACGGCGCTAACTGACTGGATAGCTGGCTGACTATTCAGCAGTGGTGACATCGGGCAAGGACGGCAGCGATGACGGCGGCGGCGAGGACGACTTCCACAGCGAGACGACCCTGATTCCCACGAACATCCCCGAGCTCCCTCTCTCGCCCCCTTTTATGCTTCCAGCGGGGCCTGGCCCTGCCTTGGCCACGGCCCCTTTCTCGACCCTTCTAGCAGGTTCTGGGAGCTCACAGATGGATCCCTTCCATGACCCTTAGCCCAGTTCTTATCCCTTCCATGACCCTTGCCCCAGTTGTTCCCCTTGGGTGGGAACACGCGCAATTGCTACTTCTGGCCGCCAGTCGGTGCTGCAACACTACACATGTAACACATGGATTTGTTACACTGTTCAACCACACACACAGACACATTTTAATCAAAACAAGTCCCTTATTTGTCAAAAAAAATCAGAGTACCAGTCATCAAATATGCAACTGACACTTGGTCCAAAGAATACGTGATACTGTAATAGAAATACATGAATGGCTAAATTCAGAATTTAGGTTAATAAGGCATAACCCAGTCCATAATATGACATTCATAAAATACAAACAGTGCAACAAAGGAAATCAGCTTTCAGTCTGTATCAGACGGTCTCTGACGCTAGTGTTGAGAAGGTGACATGGCAGGCGTTTAGAAACCTGCTGTGCCGGTGAATGTAAAGTCGTCACACAGTGTCTTTCGAACAACACAACAGCCAGGTGCTTGGTGCAGCTGGTGACTTGCCAGGTGTGGTGGGGTATTGACGATGCGTAGAACGATGAAATTGTACTTCTTTCTCGAATGTCAGGTGTTGTCGGGCTTTGACGATGGGTAGCACGATTGTTTTCCTTCAGTATCCAACGTATAGAGGTGTCTTCACCATGATAATTATTAACAGGCTTGTTGGTTTACAGTAACTTTTTTAAGCTCATGTGATTCATGGCATGTGACCTTGCAGCTCAGTTTTGAGCAATGCCTTTCCTTCTCCAAGACTTCTTCTGCAACACTCACTTTAAGTCTTCTTAATTTCACTTGCCATATGTATGGGCTCAATATAAATTGACAACTGCAAATGTTAAACTTTGCTTTAAAAATCTCCACTGTTTTTACCACTATACCTCTGAGTGGTTACTCAGCATTTCAGCCATTCTCGTGCATGGAATGACTTCTGTTGAGAGCAACCTCACATGCACGGGAGCACATGCTATCCAGCTAACATAAACATCGGGTTGCCCCTGGCTCTCTGGCCCCTCTGGGCACTCTCTGGGCTCCGGGCACCCCGGCCCTCCTCTTCTCCTCTCCTCCCTTTATCTTCTCCTTCTCTAACGTAGCCCACTAATATACTAATTGTATGAATGGACCAGTGTATAAGAATTAATAGTGTATTTATTATCCGATTCATGCTCTCTCTTGTGAAACAATGGACATCTTATAAATTTAGCCAGACTTCCACAGCTTGGTCATCAATCCATCTTACTTTTTCGGAGATAAGGGAAGTTTATTTATGTTTGGCCTGGAGTTTCAGACCTCGCAAACTTAATAGGGCCTCCCCAGCCAGCCCATAAATCTAATGAAGTACTTTGGAGGAGGAGGTGTCTCCGGCACATGAGTCAACCTCCAGACCTCCCTACAGTGGTATCATTGTTACATCGGTCTCAAGTAAAGTTAGATTCCTGTCAATGGTACCAAGTTTCTTTACCAAAATAACATACAGGAAATGCGCATGTTTGTGTCCTCTGGTCTAACACCATTTGAGACGAGGCTCAAAATAAAGCTGTCTCTGGTGTGGACCAATCAGTTTCAAGGACAATGCATATATTAGAGTATTTTTTTGTTTGCATTCTGACCACAAGCATTGTGGTTAATGCAGACATGATTCCTTGTAAAAGGTATCAGTTTGGTGTTTTAATATCTTAACACCTGTTTTGTTTCCAGAAAAAAGGGCAAAAACCTATTATAATACAGGAAATACTCAAACACCCATTAATTAATCATTTGTGGTGCTGCTCTCTTCTCCCCATGTGACTCCCCAGACCCTGGCTCGAAGAGGCAGCGCAAGAGGATGCACTGTGCCATAAGACTAGAAGCTGAGCGCCAGATACGGGAGCTTGAGATGATCCTGCTGGATCGTTGTGCACAGCAGCAGGCCAAGTATCAGCAGGAGCTGCTGGAATTCCAGAACAGCACCGAGCTGAAGAGCTTCATCATCCACCACCAGCAGCAAAAGGCAGAAGAGCAGCAGCAGGCAGAAGTCAACGCTAGTAATGAGGATGTGCAGCAGACATGTCAAAATAGCAAGAAGGTTGAGAACGAGATGGAGGAGATGGAGAAAGTGGGGGAGAGAAATTGTATGAAGAGAAAACGTGGGAGTAGGAAGAAACATAAGAACAAGAAGAAAGTTCTGGAGGAGACGGTGAAAGAAGAGGTGGCTGAGAGAGAGGGGAGTGAGGGAAAGCCCATGCAGGAAATGGTGGAGGTTGGGATGATTGAGGTAGAGATGATTGAGACAGTGGCTTTGGAGGATGTGATGAAGGAGGTAGAGTTGAATAAGGTAGAGGTGTTAGAAGGAGATGGCAAGCGGGAATTAGCGAATGAGGCAGAGGTAGTGGTGATTGAGGTAGAAGCAATGGCAAAGCAGGAAGTGGTGGAAGAGATAGCGGCCAATGTCATAGATGGGATTGAGAGAGATGCAAAACAGGTATTAGCAGAAGAGATAGAGCCAAATGAGGTAGATGGGAATGAGGGAATAGCCAATCAGGAAGTGGCAAAGAAAGTTGCGAATGTTGTGGAGACAAAGAAAGAGGGAGAGGATTGTGTTCAGAGGAAACGTAGGAATAGGAAGCTACGAAGGACTAAGATTAACGTTCTGGAAGTAGAAGAGATGAAGGAAAACGAGATTGAGAGAGAAGGGAATGATGGAGAGCCCAAAAAGGAAGTGGCGAGTGAGGTAGCGGTGATAGATGCAGTGGCCACGCAGAAATTTGTGAAAGAGGTAGTGGTCAATGTCCTAGAAGGGATTGAGAGAGATGCCAAGGAGGACTTAGGGAAAGAAGTAGAGGCAAGTGAGGTAGATGGGAATGAGGGAATAGCCAAACAGGAAGTGGCTAAGAAAGTTGACAATGTTGTGGAGACAAAGAAAGAGGGAGAGGATTGTGTTCAGAGGAAACGTAGGAATAGGAAGCTACGAAGGACTGAGATGGAAGTTCGCGAAGTAGAAGAGATGAAGGAAAACGAGATTGAGGGTGAGGGGAATGATGGAGAGGCCAGGAAGGAAGTGGTGAAAGAGGTAGTGGCCAATGTCGTAGAAGGGATTGGGAGAGATACAAAGCAGGAATTGGTGAAACAGGTAGAGGCAATTCAGGTCGACACGATTGAAGAAAAGGCCTTGCAGGTCTTGATCAATGAGGTAGATACGAATGAGGTAAAGGCCAAACAGGAAATGTCAAAAAAAGTTGAGAACGTGGTGGAGGAGATAAAACAGGAAGGGCCAAAGGAGGTTGAGGCATATGTAGTAGATGCCATCCAGGAAGTGGCAAAAGAGGTAGAGGAGATTGAGGGAGAGTCCAAGCAGGAGGTGGTTACAGAGGTGGAGCCGAATGAGTTGGAGGCGAATGACATAGAAGTGATTGAGGTAGAAGTGGAGGTAGGGGCTATTGAGGTGGAGGAGAGTGAGGCGATTTTGGTAGAGGTGAATGGTGTAGAGGCAATAGAGCTAGAGGCAAAAGAAGTAGGAGCTATTGAGTTAGAGGCAAATGAGGTAGAGCTGAAGGAGGTCAACATGACTGAAGACGATACAAAGCAGGAAGTGGTGAATGGGGAAGGGAGATGCGAGCAACCTTGGAGGCCAGACATTGTTCAGGAAGAGAAGAAAGATATTAAGCACATCCCATCTTCTAAGGGAGAGAGAAAGAACAGTTTCTGGCGTTGGGCAATTTGGAGCTTCCTGGGCTGCACACGGCAGCTGGAGAACGATGAGGAAGAGAAGAATGAACGAGGAGGAGACAGAGGGAAGGAGCGCCAAGACCAGGAGCTGGGAAACAAGAAGAAAGAAAAGTGGTGGAGACTCCGCAGAGGGAGAAACTAGCGTGTTCTCCCAGACATAGACATTGAGACGTGGTTGGATGGACATGTATATCTATATATGTATATATATTTTAAGTTGTAATAAAAACGTACTTATGTTTCTTGAACTTGACTTCTGGTACAAAAGATGTTTTACCGAAGCGATCAACAGAAGGTGTCTACAGGATTAACTACACTTGTGCCAAATGATATGTTGGGCAAACAGGACGAATGATCAGCACGAGACTAAAAGAACATCAGAGAAATAGTAAATACACGCGTGCCAACAAGAACACTCAATTGATTTTGATAATGTTGAAGTTCTGTGCAAAACTAGCTACTACTGGCCAATACTAATTATATAATCTATCGAAATTGAAAGAAATACAAATAATTTTAACTGTTTGGATACCTACCGACTTAGGGCTGCGTGGAAGCAAATCGTCAAATAATACATTGTTTAAATGCATGCCTATCAGGGTACCATACTTCAATAGGGATTACTGTTGGTACTGCTATTTTAATACAATGGACAGGAAGGATAAGATCAAAGGGCTCGCATAATGTGCATGCATAATGTACGTTTGCTCATTAATCCTTCACCCCCCCCCCCCCCACTTTGTGCAAGAGCGCAGAAGTGTGGTCACCACATATATGCCTCTTTATAAGGAACGAAACACGTGGACTTCTACACAAATCTGGCTGTCACCTGATGAAGCTAGTTGTAATTACTGGTGAAACGTCGTACTCAGATTGTAAATGTTGTGGCTTGGCTCCCCAACACACCAGTGTCCTGTACTAGTGACGAATTGGCATGTTCTGTTTATGTGACAACCGTTACTAGTTGGCTGTGTCAAGTGGTGCCAGGTTTTAACGACATTTATATATTTACGCGATCTAATCCATTAAAAATGGGAAAATGTCATAACTGGGTGGTTTTTAACTTTTGCCGACAAAACTGGATCCCAAATGTCAAAACTGGGTGCACCCTGGGTGGCCAAAAACTTGAGTTTTGGACACTCAGGGTGCACCCAGTTTTGACATTTGTCAAATACACTTGATAATTGTATACTAGCACAGTGTGCCAGCACCCCATTCATCCAAACACTTGGTATTTGTATACTGGCACACTGTGCCAGCACCCCATTCATCTAAACACTTGGTATTAGTATGCTGGCACAGTGTGCCAGCACCATATAACTACACACACTTGATATTTGTACGCTGGCACAGTGTGCCAGCACCCCAACGACCAACATTTCAAACTACGGCTCGGACTCGGAAGTGAGCTCGGGGCGGGCTTGCGACCAGGCGGGCGCACTGCCACCTTGCGTGATGACCTAGACTAGTGACTCGCGTCAATACCAAACTTTTGGATTGTTGGTTGATGCTACGCGCTACTGTACACCCTTAAATTTGCCATGCATTCGACCATAGCCCGCCAAACGACCAAGGACAGAGACAAAGGCGACGTCCTTGGGAGATGGACCAGCCTGCTTGACGCTCCTGACCATGGTCCCAATGGTGCGGAACAAACCAACGAATGCGCATCTCGTTGATTGGTCAATCCTTTGGCCCACCGTTACGGTGATTGGCGGAAATATTGTGTGAAAAATCAAATTGCTGGCAATGAAAATAGACATATTGTCTCGTGAAAAATTGAAAGTAGACGTAGAAACGTGATTTTTCACAAGCATTTTTCACGAAACAGGTGGAGGAGCGGCTCACATTCGAATGGCAACCCTCCACCCCAAGAAGACTTTTACCACGCGCCGCGAGGCCATCCACGGCATCCAAGACTTTGCTTTGCAACAAGGCAAGCGCGCGGTCCTTGACCTCAAGCGAAGCGGCGGACGGCACGTTGCCATCGTCTGCTCTAGTTCAACACCTTGTTCCTTCAAGGTGAAGCTGACGAAGCTCACGGGGGAACGACGCGGCTTCCGCGTCTCGGCGCTGTGCACGGATCACCACGGCTGCACGGGCACTACCAAGATCACGCAGCGCCAAGTGGAGGCGAACACGACAGCCCGTTCGGCCTTTCGCGCCAACCCCCGTACCTCCGCACCGACTGTCATTGCCCAGGTCGCCGACGTTGCTCGTGTCATTGTCCCGACCCGGATGATGTACCGCGCCAAGGACACGTGCATCGCGGCGAACGAGAGTGCGGCCCATGCAGGCTTCAGGTTCATCAACTCGCTGGTGGAGACGTTCGGCAAGCTCAACGCGACGACCTGCAGTGTGCGAGAAGACGCGGGCATCTTCTGGGGTGCGTTCATCTGCAACCCGATCGCACGCTCGTTGCAGCCAAGTCTTCAACGCGTCGTCGGCATCGACGGGTCGCACATGAAGGCGCGCGCCTACAACGGAACCATGCTCGTCCTCGTTGGGCGCGACGGCAACAACCGCAACGTCCTTCTCGCCGTGGCGCTGGTGCCGTCCGAGACGGCAGCGGCCTACGACTGGTTTCTCAACTGCTGCACGACCAACGACATCGAGCTCGACGGCACGCCGGTCTTCTGCGATCGTGGCACGGGCATCCTAGCCTCCGACTGGAAGGACCTCATGCTCATCCACTGCACGCGGCATTTGATCTGCAACGGCGTGGACAACATCGGCTCCGCGTTCACGCCCGACCTCCAAGGCATCATCTACGATGCCCAAGGGTGCGCCTCCGAGGCCGCGTTCCGCAGCTCCTTGGGCTGCTTGGGCGTAGCTCTGCCTGCGGCGGCCACGTACTACAACAAGATCGACCCCCACACGTGGGCGCTCTACCCGCACCTGCACACGACGCCATTGTACGGCTGGCGCACGACGAACTTTGTGGAGTCCACGAACAGCGAGGCCCTGCCGGCTCGCGAGATGGACCCCTTCCACTTCCTCATGCACCACATGGAAGACATGATGACGACGGCCTTTGCCCACCGCAGCGACGCCGAGAAGTGGGCCGCTCAAGGGCGTGTCATTACGCCGTACGCTCAAGGACTCATCGACGCTCAGCAGGCGTTGGCCCCGAGGTACAAGGTCTACGAGAGTACCTCGACGCGTGCATACGTCAAGGATCCAGACGCCTACGCCTCTGCTAAGCGCCGAGTCGATCTCAGCTCTCGGTCGTGCACGTGCGGGTACATGAAGCAGATGGGCTTGCCGTGTCGGCACTACATTCGTGCCCTCATGGCGTTTGGGCGGATGCCCGAGCTCTACAACGCATGTGCGGTGTGTTACCAAGTCTCTGCCATCAACACGACATGGACCTCGGTTGCTGGTATCGAGCTGCCCATTGTCGAGAAGCTGCAACGCGACAACACCATGATGCCACCTCCTCGCCAGAAGAAGGCTGGCCGCCCGAAGAAGCGTCGGATTCGCAACCGTGGCGAAGGTGGCCCATTGGGCCTCACGCGGTGCTCCTTCTGTCGCGCCAAGGGCCACAACAAGCGCTCTTGCCCGTCGAAGTAGTTATATATATGTAACAAACATTTTTGTTCTAAGTGTGCAGCACCATACTTCTCGACGCAAACACTATCTACAGTTGTTCTACTGTAGTAGGTGTAGCATGCAAGCTGGCACACTGTACCAGTATACAAATGGCAAGTTAGTGTATGTTCGCGAGCTGAAAGTGTTACTGTAGTTGCAAGCTGGCACACTGTGCCAGTATACATATGGCAAGTAAGTGTTACTGTAGTAGCGAGCTGGCACACTGTGCCAGTATACAAATGGCAAGTAAGCGAGCTGGCACACTGTGCCAGTATGCAAACGGGAAGTTTGTGGTGCAAGGTATGGAACATGAGCCACGAGAAACATCATTTGGAACGCTCTAAATCTGTGGCGACATATGGATGAATAACGCAAGGACCTAAACGTGTACAAAATGATACATTAAATCGTACACCTTCTTCACCCAGTTTTGACATTTGTCCACATTGAACATCACCCAGTTTTGTCATATCAAAAAGCACCACCCTGTTTTGCCTGTCGTTTTCCAAGACCACCCAGTTTTGACATTTGGGATCCAGTTTTGTCGGCAAAAGTTAAAAACCACCCAGTTTTGACATTTTCCCCATTAAAAATACCCTCTTATGGAGCTATTCAGTAATCGATGTATTGATGATGACAATGCACCATGGTCCCCAGTCTCATATTGAACCCAAAACTCACAGTCTGTGCACTCCCAGCAGATAGCGACAGCGCAAATGGGAGCGCGTCACTAGCATTCAGTAACTCACTGGTTTGTTCATTTCGTCTTTCATCTGTTCATCAATTTATAAATTAATTAAATTATTAATTTGTCAATTAATTAGGCACTTAATCCATTTACTCATATTAATTAATTCAGAAAATAACTATCGCTTCTCTCCGTCTCCTTCCATGCATCAAGTCGTACGTGAAGTCACAGCTCAGTTCCCATTCGTGTTCAGCAGCTCTACACACAAAACGATGTCCACGGTGGTGGAACGTTGATTTGGTGCACTGTACTATAAACCAGTCAGCCATCCATAGGGAGTGTGGGGCCTGGGGCAAATCTCACCGTGTGAGCTTCCTGAAGCCTTCAAACTAAACCGGGAATCACGTAGATAGGTTCATACATAGCAGGGGTCACCAAAAAGATTTCCAAAATCATGATCAAACGCAAGATCCAGGTCGATTGAACACAGTACGTAAAATTCGTGATCTGATCAAATCTGTGAAGGATGTGATCCCTGATATGCAATACCCCGGCGCCTACAAACTAATCTGTGTCTGTGGCAGTAGTTACATTGGGGAAACTAAGCTATATGTCTCAAACCGTGTTCGTGAACATGAGGCAGATCTGAAACACGGAAGGACCAATACCTCGGTCATGGCTGATCATTCTTTTAATGCGGTGGGCTCACGAAATAGATTTCTCTAAGACGAAAGTACTTGCAAACCCACTGGTTATCAACAAAGATTCGTTCATGAAGCCATCCATATATACAGACGCACACAATTTCAACCGAGAATATGGGTACAAACTTAGCAATCATTGGAATCAACCAGCTTAAGTCA